TAAAAGGTGGGATATTCTCTCTACCTACCTGATGGGATCACCTCAGAGATAACAAACATTCATTCTAAATAATATTTTTCACCATTGTCTATATCATAGGTGCACACTCACATCGTCAGGACTTTGACATCCATAATCTCCTGCCTGAGCTCCCTGCATGCAGTGGAGTTGTACTCAAAGGAGCCATCATAGTTATCCAGATACCTGGTGGGATAGACACAGTCATCTTCTGCCTAAACTTCTCCTCAGACACAAGAGAATCAACAGAATTAATGAATTAACAAGCCATGGAGATAAGATGCAATATATTTAAAATAGTGTGCTTACAGTACACGATAAAGCAAAATATTATATATAATTAATGCAAAATATCTATAGAGTGACTTAATGAAATAGAAGAATATCAGAGTAGCACTGTGGGATGACAAATGACAGAAGTGATGCAACAGGAGAGTAGGAGACGGTTTAGTTGACACTTGCACCAGATTCTTTTACATCTTAGTCTAAATCAATGTTAAACTGAGTGAAGAGAAACAATACCTCTCATATTTAACCTTATCTAATAAGCTTTGATGAGAAGTTACGTGATTTAACACATGAGTCATGTGCTGTTTATTCATTTAAAAGACAAGCTTGTTAAAATGGTGGATTAGATGTATAGTATCTGGTGGATATGAGTATGAGAGGGTCTGTGATTTTAATTTATTTTGGTAATGTATAGCTAATGAGTATAGCTAGTGACTCACCGGCAGATTACTTGATAGTTCGATACGTAAACATGCACACAGATGCATGGCCATGCAAAGAGGTAATGATATAGGAGGCGAGGCTTTTGGAATTTTATATTTTCAACTACAGTTAAAGACTCTACTGAATAATTTTAGACATATGAAACAATCAATTGAACATTTTAAATTAACTTGAACCCAGAGCACACAAAACTAGTGTCTGGATGCGTGGTGATGTTTTAGTGAATTTGACAAACTTTTTTAGTATAGTTGTAAATGTAATTTATTCAATAAGTTGCCATTTATCTGTGCACTGATGCCTCATTTCTTGCAGCACAACCAGAATGCTGTGTGTGTGGGGACCTAATTCTGTTTATTCAGTCACATTATGCTTATACTTGTCTTTCATATGAGGACAAAAAACAAGTCCCCACAACGTAAATCATTAAATGTCAAGGTGCATACAGGTATAAGTTAAGTTTAGGTTAAGGTTCAGGTTATGGTTGGTTAACATTAGAATTCCAGTAACTTAATGTAAGTCAGTCTATTGTCCTCGTAGTCATAGAGACACTGCTGTGTGCTTGTATCCATGAGTACGTGTGTGTGTGTTTAAGTGTGTTTTTGGATGGGGGTGAGGATACAGTTTGAGAGTAGAGAAGAAGGAATTTGATTGTTGCTGGTCTCCCATCTGTGGGATCTTGGTGCTCTACAGGAGTTTTACTTTATTAAGATCAGCAATATTTTACAGTACTTCAAAATACGCTCCTTCTGAGGAACATCACAATCTTGGAAATGTATTTTTAAATGCATATTGCTTAAGGGAAGGGGAGGGGGAATTAATGCCAAAAAGGCAGCAATTGCAGGGTGTACTTGTCAGAACAAATGTTGGTATTTGTCAGAGAGATTAAATGCAGTGTGGTGTTTTCAAAGATGGATAAAATTGAAACATATTACCTGTGGCTGTGGAGGTAAATGAGATGAGTTTGAAAATAAATGATGATGATAAGAGAATACAACGAGCAATACGAGCAATGGAGGGATGCATTAAAAGGATTGGGATGAAATCTTACAAATAAGGAGCGATGAAACTGGTTGTCTACATCCACCTGATGATGCAGTATATTTCTGAGGTTTATTGAGAGGAGTATCTGTCCTACATAATTATATGTGACACTTTCAATGAGGACTATTCAAGCTTGTTTTAGCTAAGATGACGAAACTTTTGCAAGTGTTCTGTGTTTGGTTCAGTAAGAGATGAATTCCATCTCTAATGGCATTAACCATTTAATGCTGGTTCAAAACCAATCCGGGATGAGAAAGAACTAAACCTGCATTTTATTATTGTTTTGCCATACTGACATCCTCAATGAGGATTTGGAGCTTTGGGGGGAGGGAGGGGCTTAAATCTGGCAGGTTCCTGTCTTCTTGTAACAAGGAAAGTCAAGTGGAAAAAAGGGAGTAGATCCAGGTCGCAGGGAGAGACAATGCAGATGTGAGAAGGGGAGAAAAGGGGGAGAGCAGAGAGTAGTGTCCACACTATGTACATGGCATACACACAGAGCTGTGCAGAACACATGACACACAGGTTGAGGAGGACAAGGCATTTGGAAATGGGTGCTGAATGGGACACAGAGGTAACGAGGAGAAGCCAGTGCAGCGACAGGAGACCGTGGTTCAACCAGCTTCTGGCGGGGGGAGTGGGTGGGGTGGTGGGGTTTGGGGAACTGGGGTTTCGAGGTGGACGGGATCAGACAACATGCAGAGCAAATCTAAAGTGCAACCACCACTGAAAAATATGAGAGTTTATACCTTTCAGACTAATGAAAAAGAAAAGAGGCATTCTTGGGTTTCTGTGAGAAAAAAGACTAAAAAAAAAGCCTTCAAACTGGCCTACCTGTGAGAGCGTTTTTTTTTCTTCTTAATACCGGCTACGCAGGGTGTGACTACTACGGAGATCTTTGAATCTGGCTGAATATTCTGACGGAAACATCTGTCAACATGCAGACAGGTTAAGTTAGAGTTAAATGTGTGAAGTAGTACTGCTCACTTCCTAAACCTGCAGAATTCAAAATAAGTCAAGTAATGAAGAGAAGAGTTGTGTTTGCCTAAATGTGTTGCAGTGTGTGTCTTACAGCATCTACACAGGAGACTGATGGGCATTAAACAGCGGCCCAGTCCACGCATGCAGGGCTGGGTCGTCACTATGATGGATTTGAAACTTGTGTTCTCCTTTTCCTCTATCTGTCTGTCTGTCCCTTACACTCTCTTCTCTCAGAGGTGTTGTGCAGTCAGTCACGCTGGAAAGGTACCTTTTCCTTCCATTTCTGGCAGGCTTCAGTGGTCCGTCATCCGAGAAATTAACGGGACCGGTCCAATTTCCTGTCTCGTCCCCTTTGAGTCGGCTAAACTGTTGCGCACTAGTAAGAAAATGAGTCAGTTTATTTGGGATTTATTGTCCTTATTGTGCAAATGTTAAACACATACAACCGAGCCCATGTGTACACTCAGAGATCTCACAACTCACAACTCAAACACACACACACACACACACACACACACACACAGATATATATATACATTAAGGGGGACCAACTTTTTTTGGCTTAAGAGAAACAGTCATGATGTGAAATTAAACATGCTTGGAATGGATTTTCTGTTAATGGTTTGAATAGTTGATTTATGATCTGCTGGGCTGTCGCCATGGTCCTGTGTGTGTTTCAAACAATCGCACTCTGCGGTATTGGCCTCCAGGAGTGTAAGACTTGTACTTCAATGTATTATCGTCACTGCCATTTAATGGGAGGAACAATAATCACTGCCTATGTTTCTGCAAATGTCAAATAGCTTCTGAGGAGATGCCAACAGATTCGCCAAGTGTAGATGCTATAAAGTTGCCATTTTAGACCATCAATTCAGCCAAATGTAACCGATTAAAGGCTTTTACAGAGAGAGATCTGTTTATTCATCTTGTTAAGTGCTATTCAGACTGTGAAAACAGTTGTTTTATGTCGTCTTTGGCTCTTTGTCGAATCAGGTGATGGGATATCTCAACTTGGACCTGGACTTGACGACTACAAGTCCAGTCACCCATACGCGAATATATCAGTGGCGAACCTTTGGCTCCCGTTCAACTTTGCTGAACTTTGGGCCACGATATTCGCTTTGCATTCGAGCATGTGTGACCGTGCCCTAACTCTAAAAAACATGCCATTCTCCAATGAAAATAAATGCTATGGTTGTATTAACTGGAATAGGATCCACTGGAGCTTGACCTTTTTTGTAATATTGTTAGAGTCAGGATATTTTTGACAGAGGAGATCATTTGGTGTGCTTCATAACCTCACATTCTTCTGAGTAAAGAAACTTATTCCAGAGAGATGAAGGGTACCGGTTTATGTTTGCATTCCATTCAATGACATACAAAGTCCTTATTGAGGTTTAGTCTCCTCAGGGGGAGAACAACAGATATGCGACACAATATAAAGCAATAAGACATATTTACTTTTGAGCGGCTGGTAATATTCTACAGTTTTGTTACTGTCAACAAATCCCATTAAAAGAGAACTCAGCCTCTGAAAAAACAGGTCACAAATGCAGTTTTTTTTTTAAGGTTCAGTCATTTCCCAAAGTAGCTGAGCTCTGCAAGTTACAAACATTACTCAGATCGTTTATTTGCTATATTCTGCTGTTGACTAAGCTTTTATTCACAGCATTGAGACAGTGTTTGTTAGGTTAGACTCAAAATAAACCAGTGTCTATGTTATTCATTATAATAAACCAGTGCAACAGTGTGGCTCACTGATGTGTTTACATTTATTATTGGTCAGTCTTTTTATTAGATTTGTAATAACAATATATTATACAACCAGATTTATCCTTTCAAAATCTAACAATCAAAAGGATTGCAGTTGTTACATCTGAACGGAATAATCACCTTCTATATGTCCAGATATGTCAGAGACAACTCCTCCTATTATGTGACTGATAACTATGCAGCTGTTCTTGTGTGAGTCATATTTGTGAGTGCTCTGTGGGCGTCATGATAAATTCAGCAGAGAGATCAAACCCAAAGAGCCTTTCTGGGTGGTTGAGCGTTCGTCACAGAGGACTCATGTCTACACTGATCTGCACATTTGGCCTCTTAGTGCCATCTTCTCTGGAACAAGCGGCCGCAGAACAAAACAGAACAGAACAGAACAGAACAGTTCATGCTGAGAGACATCTGTCCATCGCTTAAGGCTATATGCCTGAAATAGGACAGGAAGGCTAATCACAGTAGCATAATTTAGTCACTTATGATATAAAATAGATCATCCTCACCAAATTGCTATGTCTCCTGGCTGATTAATAGCATCAAGATTGTTAAGTACTGATATTTTCCAATAATGTGGCCTCCAATAAAAGTGTAATCAATCTCATGTTACCGCATCTGACTCATAGATCTTGCATACACGCATTAAGAGCCCATTTATTTCCCACTGACTTGATTACGAGGTCAGTAATCTAAGCATTAGATTGGACAGACAACAGACACAAAGTTGCTCCGAAGCACTAACGATCTTTGATTCTGCCCTTGAGCGCTGTTAATGGGACTTGAAAGCAGTCAGGACTTTTGTAATATTGGATTCTGTGACTCTGGCTCTTTTAAGGGTGGGTCGGTCCCATTGATCCAGATGACCACTTAGTACTTCTTGTATGTTCAGAGTTAGACTTCCTGTCCTTATCAAAACAGGAAATTAACAGACGTTATCTCCTCTCCGTCTCTTTTGAGATTCCACTTTGCATCACTTTGGTAAAGGGTGCAGTCACTCATAAATTATGAAATATGCACTTTTATGGACTCAAATCAATATATTTGTATGCAGCTCTGTCAACAGCATGTTGGGTGAGAAAAAGAAAACACAGAGCTGCTCAGGAGATTCAGTCCACTTACATAAGGCACCAAGAAGGGCTTACTTCTCAAGGGTCTGGTGTATAAATTAGTTGATTGGTAGAGATATCAAGATTTTGTGATTTTTGATTTGATAAAACTATTATTTCTGAGGTTTTATAGATTACCACAATTAATTATAACGATAATAAATTGATAATGAATCATCCACTTACAGCAGAAAGTGAATATGTGTGCCAGCACAGAAGAAGTGTGTCACTCACTGTTATCCTTTAATAAGCTCCCTGCTTGTTCCTGCAGGTGCCATCTTACAATCTGACACAACTTCACCCCGATGTCAGTGAAGATGGGCAAGGGACCTGATTTGTGACACTCAATGGCCAGATTCAGGGTCAGATTTATCAAGTACAACTGGACACTCATGCATTTAGAGGATTGACATTTGCCATCTCCTGGTCATCTGGGATAGATGGATGAGATTTATGATAACTTAGGTCCGAAATATGACTCCCTGAGCTTTCTCTCACTTCAAGCACCCAAATGTCTCCTCTGCTGCAAGTCCATCCAATATGCCTCTGTTAATTTAAGTTTAAAGATATGTTTTGCCTGTGTTGCCCAGAAACAGGAGCGCATGCCCCTGCCAACATGGTCCCAGGCCTGAGGAAGAAGCAGGGTGCGGTCGAACCCATATGGCATCGACTTCTGATTGTTTATGCTTGGAGAGATGTAATAAGATGACATCTCTTCTCCCTCTCTCTCTGCTTCAGACACACACACACACACACAAAAGCATGAAAACACACTCATTTCATCAGCCCCTCTTCTCTCTCTCTCTCTCTCTTTCTCATCCCCACTTGCACTGGGGTGTGTGTGCAGACAGACTGTAGCAAAATGGCTGCCGCTGAGACCACTGGTTTCTGTTGTGTGGCTTGTTCCCCCCAATCGCTCCTAGGCCAAGCACCAAGAGCGAGTAGGAGCACAGAGCACAGAAAGGTGTGTGTGCGTGTGTATGCATGTGTGTCAGGTCTGGATTCATGCATCTCACCGCAGAGGTCAGGATGCCATGAATCCACATTGAGTATCCAGACCAGCCCAGCAGGGTGGGAAGAGGGGGGAGGGTTTCACTGTGGGGGAGCTGTTCAGATTGCAGCACATGTATGTTTGCTTTGGAGGAAACATATATGTGCTGTGTGTCAAATATCTAGACGTGGGGGTTAAAGGTTTTCTAATTGTTTTTTCCTTTGAGGTGAGATTTAGGTGTTCTTCATATATCACCTAAAGATCAGACATCCCGGCTTCTCAGCATCTGCTCGTCTCACACTGATATTTTCTCCGAATTAAAAAAAAGAAAAAAGACATGGGCCTGGTTCAAATGAATAGAAACTATCAACCAGGATTCAGCTCGAGAGCCATGCATCTGGGAGTTAGATACTACTACTGTTGCAGAGGTATTATAAAACTTGGCTCTGCAGTGGCTGTGTGTGCAGCAGCCGGTTAAAAAAAGAAATATATGATTTATTTATCAGTGGGTGGGCTGGGGGGCAATAAGAAATACACATCATCTTAACCATATCTGTCATCATCATCAGTTCCAGTAGCTTTCAGGTGCAGTAAGATTTTCTGATGCTCTGTCAGATGTAGGCTACGACCAGTCAAGAAAGGCTGAAACGGTAAAAATATAAAATAAAAATCTTTGAGGGAAAAGAAGGGGGGGGGGGGGGGTAAACCATTACCATACACAAGCTAGAGCACTGTGTATGGTATGAATGTGATGCCTCGCTTTCAGAAAATATCAAAAAAAGAAATCCGATGGAAACTGTTTCTACTGGGAAAGAAAAATGGATGGTTAATTGCTTTTGTTCTTTTCAGCCATTAGAGCTTGTTTCCCCCCCATGCGTCCCCACACGTAGACTGAACATCATCAGGTTATCAATCACTGGCCCATTGTTCGATCAACATTCGGTTATTGATTGGGATCAATGAAAGCTATGATAGCATGCTTTTTTTAAATCGGATTATTATCATTACAGCTTGGAGAACTCTTGCTCGCATGCACGCGCTCTGATTGCCTGCATGTATGGCGGCGGGACAGAAACAACACTTACCTCTTGATGTAGTTCTTCCCGTAGAGAATCTGCTGCAGTAACGTGACGAGGCCGAAGGCGCAAATGAATATGAAACAAAGGGAGCGATTGCCGAGTATGTCTTTACCCGACGATGGGTCGGCGTATCCCATCCTGCGGCGCAGCATCCAGGGCTGACGGTGGTGACACCCGCGTAGGTGTCTCTCTCCGGTGCATTCAGGGCCGGGGTCGAAGGTGTCTTTTGCCCGCTGCACCGGGCATCGTCCCTCACCTCCTCACTGGGCTTCACCTCACGCCATCACATCACCGCTGCTGCAGGAGAAGCATCGCAATGTATCAGCAGCCGTCAAGGGCTCTGCATCCAACCCTGCCTACAATAAACCCTGGGTGTGAGTGTTGAGGGGGGAATAATAAAGGCTGCTGCAGATGTTTTAAACAGCTGGAAGGAAGAAAAAAAAACGACGAGGTGCAGTAGCAGGCAAACAATCCAGATTATCCACAACAACACGCTCAGATTGCTATTGTCCAGAATAAAACCTGAATTATTTGTTTTTTTCTTTCTCTGTCTTTAAATTACTGATGCGAGATGCGACGGAGAGAAAACAGACGCACACATCCCGCATGCTTCATCTCAAATGTGAGCAAATGCTGCGTGACTGAAATATAAATGGAGGAGGATGCGCCTTTTCTCCGCCGGGGACACGGGGACGCGCACTCAGTCAGATGCTCCTTTACTATACAGGCAGAAGACAAGGTCACGCTCTCCTTTACCTGCTCATGCACTATCACAACACTGATTTAAATGACGCACAAAAACCCCCTAACCCTGTCACAGGATTACATAGTGTAAATTGTAAGTCATTCATAACTATTGTTTTTTATCACAGAGTTCATGGACATCCAACAATTCTCTGCTCAGCAATTTTCTGTCCAATTATTTGTATTGATCAGTTTTCAACAGTTAAAACCCAGGACTGTGGTGGCCCTGAAGTGCAAACGAAAAAAAAAAAAATACACAACAGCACATCAACAACAAATCATGAAACACAACAACAAATCACCCCAAAATGTTGGCAAAGCGCAAAACACAACATCAGCAAATCAAAAGACACAACAGCTAATCAAAAGCAAATCAAAAGCACAACGGCAAATCAAATTACACATTGGTAAATAAGAAAACACAACAACAAATAAAAAAGCACATTGGGAAATCACAAAAGACAACTGCAAATCAAAAAACACAAAACACTAGTGCAAATCCTACAACACAATATAAAATATGATCAGCGACAGGCCTCGTCATTAACAGGTATCTACCTTTTTTGTTAGTTAATGCTGCTGTATTTTTTGATTCCGTTTTGTGATTTGTTGTTGTGTTTTGTGATTTGCTGTTGTGTTATGCTCTTCAGGACCTCTGTATAATACCATGCCAGAGCTAAACCACTGTGCAGGAGCCTATATGCACAATCACCTTTATGATCAACAGAGTCATTGGGTGTGGCAGCCTTTAGATTATTCATGTGTTTGCTGACGTTGCTCTGTGGGTTGTCTCATTAATGTCACTTTCAATGACACTTCTACAGACAGTGTCAATGGTGTTTTATAAAAAGATCTGGAAGAATGTTACATTTCTTTTCTTTCTTGACCCATAAATAATCATGTGATGTTACTGTCTTGAAACATATATCTAGCCCGACCTGCTGTGGACATCTATGTAAATCTGTTGAGATTATTTAGTCTTTAATTGACAAATATTGTAGAAGGGGCACTCATAGTAAATTAAAACTGGAGCAAGTCTGACGAAAAACACTTAAATCCTGTAAAAATGTATTCTCCACAACAACCTCTTTTCTTGAATTTTGCCTGCTAGGTGAGAAAAGTAGCCCAGACATCTTTCTCTCGGGCCACAGCCCTCAGGATCTGACTCACTCACAGACCAGATGGGACACGAAGCTCCGCCAGCATGTTCTGGGTCTTTCCTGGGGCACAGACCAGTTGGATGTACACAGATTATCTGCAAGTAACAGCAATTGGAGCTCTTTATCCTAAACGGGGGAGACCAGTCTCCATGCAAAGAAAGTTCCTTTATGTTTTATATCTGCAATGTTATATTTTCTGTCATCTGAGCAATGGCTGGATTAACCATGAATACATTAACCATTAATACATTAAACATGAATACATTAACCATGAATAGAGTAATATGTGAAGTTATAAATGAGCTTCCTCCTCTCTGTGCTCTGTGCACGTATCCTGTTAATCAGTCTATCATCAAGCACACTGGGCTCACAGGCTACACATGTTGTATGTTTGGCCCAAAAGGCCATGTTATTTTAGTTTATACCAAATACATTAAAAAGCTTTTCTTTGTGTTATGATGACATTATTATATCATTTAAATGCTGTAAAATGTATTTAATTCCGTTTTCTGGTGCACGGTTTTAATTTTTTAAAAATGGTTACGAAGCTTTGATTGAAGTGAGTGGGAACTTTTTAATTCGGTGCGTTGTGTGGGAAATGAAATGAATGATCTTTTCCTGTGCAAAACAACATGGGGTCGCATTTGTGTGTTACACCGGAAGCCGCACGGATGTGATTTGATGCAGCGCCTGCCCCTCTTCCGGCCTCTTTTCCCTCAGCCACCGGACGAAAATGGTGAGAAGCAACGCTGTCCCACAGAAATCTGCAAACATCTTCTCCACGGGCCGTTAATCTGACACCGACTGATGATGTTTCTCTACCGGATAAACATCGTTTCTGTTCGGATTAACTATTGTAGAGACGAAACTCCATTTTAATAAGAAAATAACGCTGTTCATGTCGCTTCCGTCTAGCATCTATACGCTCTCGTTAGCATCGAGGTTCAGTTTGATTCACCCGGCCCACCGCCGCACAACAGTTTAATAACCCCGAATGATTTCGTTTGTATCTGCAAATAATCAAACATAGAGCCAGTTTCTATCCTGTGAAGTTTTAAGGAGGCTGTGAAATGTTCAACTAGCTAGCTAGCTCCTCCATAGCGGTTAGCATAACCAGCTAATGTCTTCATGTGTTTCATTTAGGTGATTATACACAAAGTAAACAGATCTGTAAACTCGTTTGTATGTATGAAGCCGGAGATAAGTGTTCATACTTTATGTGATTAAGTAGTTCACTCTCATTGTACAATACCTCTTTCATTGATAAAATGGTTCATACACAATTGTTTTAGTAAACAAGCAAATGTTCACATAATGATCAGTAACAAATTATAGACAAAGACATAGTAGCAACATCTACTGATCGTATTGCACAGTGAGTAACCAGGTGAAGAAACATACCTGTTCTACTCTATACTTTATTTATTTAGTTATTTTTTACTGAATACTTACTAAGTACTTCACTGTAGTTGATAGGAAATGTGTAATACAGTAGATCTATCACTGAGGCAGTATATTGCATCCCTTACATTCATCAAATGGTTGTTCTTGATCCTCTGAGTCTTGTCAGTGATGTTTTCAAACACAAATGTCTGAACATATGACTTTCTGTGATTCATCCTTTGTAACTGAGACAAGACTGTCAGAGCTGTAACTTGTGCTCCAGTCTTTGAGTTTGTTGTGTTGACCTGTGGTGTCTTTCTTATTCAGACCAAGGGGACATCTTCTTTCGGTAAGCGCCGCAACAAGACGCACACCTTGTGCCGTCGCTGTGGTTCCAAGGCCTATCACCTGCAGAAGTCCAGCTGCGGCAAGTGTGGCTACCCCGAGAAGCGCAAGAGAAAGTGTAAGTGTAGCTTTATGAACGAATGACTTGAATTGAACAAACATGCAGGTTAGCTATGGTTTTATCTGTAGTCTTTCCCTCACACTCATACTTAATCTACTATTGACAGTAATCTTGACTTTGTCCAGGTGTTTCCGTTCTGTTTTGTATATGAGTTGTGTACTTAAACCTAATTAGTGACTTGAATTGTGTGTGCAACATGTTAAGTCATGTCACTGACTGTCAGTATGACAGTACAGTATCCAGCTCTACATTGGTGGGAATATCCAGGCTGCTTGGATACATTGAAATATTTGTTTTGTAGACAACTGGAGCGCAAAGGCCAAGAGGAGGAACACCACTGGTACCGGCCGTCTGAGACACATGAAGGTCGTCTACCGCAGGTTCAGGTATGATCCTTTGATGAAGATGCTGATTTAGATGTGCAGCCACTTGATGGATAATTCTGCTATGAAAGCAGGTTTGCTGTCTGTCCCTCTGTTATTGGACTCATGTCAGAAAGGTGACGTGTTTTAATTGCCTTGGCGTCAGTAATACAAATGATTACATGTATCATGATGCTAATACTTAAAAGAAATTAGGTGTTTAACACTTTATTAGTAATTCATTTTCATGTAGCATCTTGATTACATACAGTGGATCTGCTGTTCATTTGTAATGAAACATCCCACGCCGAAAATTCAAGCAAGATCCACGATCCTTACTTAAAACCACCCACAAGTTGATATTTACCTTTCTCTATTTCCTAAATAGACATTTAAATCGAAGAAATGCTAGATTGTATTACCATATGATCCTATCGTGGCTTTGTTATTACTTTGAGAACTATCCTTACGGGAAACCTGCCTGTAGTCCCGTCAAGACTTGTCAATGATGCTTACCAATGATGGTGAAAAAAAAATGTCTGAACAAATGAACTCAAATGATATCAGTATTTTCTCTGAGGTAAGCTTCATTGACAGATTGGACCCTACAATTGTTGGATTGTGCAGTTTATAACACGCTTTTATTCAGTTTGGCAGGAAATGTTGTTTTCATGTGTGTTGTGAGGTACAGACAAGCTTTTGTACCTTTCCAGTGAAGCTTGGCTACATTTCAGTGAATCAGCTCCGACCCTTCATCCAAAAAAGTTTGGCTGGCAGACATTGTTGGGTTCAAATCGACACGCATAAATGATAAACTGTTGAAAACCGAATGTCTTCTAACTTCGTAATAACTAAGTTAAAGCTTTTCATATTCCAGTTATTTGTCTGAAGTAGGGCTTTGAAAGACTTCCTGTTTCCAGGCGAAAAACCTGTTTAATTATAGTTCATGTAACTTATCATGTTGGCAGTCATGCTGTAGTTTTCACTGTCAGCGCTTTTATACCTTTGTGCACAGAGTATTCATCAACAAACTCACTGATTGGGCAATAAAGTTGTTTTTAATTGGGACTGGAAGTCTGTGGAACTTACAAGCCAGGTTATTTTCATAAACATACAGCTCTTACAGGGCAGATGTTAGAACATGTTCTGTCACTGCTGTCTTTTTACCTGTGCCAGTTCCTAAGATTTAGTTCCTAAGTGTTCTGCACGCTGGCTCAGAAACTCGGACTGAGTGGAGCATTAAGCCTCTTATCCTGCTAAGTCAAAACGTCAACGCATTGTTGAGATAGCATCTCCACTGAAATGCCAACTTCTGTTATCGCACAAAAAACACCAGCATGAGCAGCATGTAATTTGTGCTAAAAGCCTGCAGACTTAACTTGACGTTTATCCTTCTGTCCAAACAAAACTGGGAGATATAAATATTCACAATGAATCATCAGATTGCTACAGTAACATGAGTTATTTACCCATTCACGTGGGTAACCAGCCTGTAAACAGGAGACTGGAATCACGTTCATTTGTTTATAAATGTGACTAAAACCTAAAAGTAAATTACCAAGCTTTTTTTGTGAGATAACAAATACTGTGACTCAGGACTTTTCACTTGAGTCAGGCTACTCCTAATTATGTGTCTGCATCAACCCTAACATTATTTTCATTCTTTTAAATTTCTTATTCCTTATTTTCCAGGAATGGTTTCCGGGAAGGCACCACCCCCAAACCCAGACGTGCTGCAGTGGCCGCCTCCAGCTCATCCTAAAAGACACATTTTTGGTTAAATAAATGTGATGTTCAACAAGAGTTTCAGTTCTTGTCTCTTGATCTTTCACCCTCACTGTCTTTATCCAGTGATGAAGGCCAAAGACAGAGAGGCCATGTTTAGTGTCAATTAAATATACACATGGTTGAGATTTAACTCTAACTTTATTCTTTTGTGCAAATCTTCAAATGTAAAGGTTTCGATGTTAGAAAACACAACAAGACTGAAATAAAAGGTGTTTTCAGAAACATGAGCCTTCATGTATTAATACAAGGTGTCCTGCGGTCACCTATCTTGGAAGTTCCACCCCTCTAATGAACAAATACTCCATAGTATTTCAATCATACTATTGTTGCCAAGCGAGAAAGGTTTGTTTTTCCTATTTAACAAGTCAAATGGTTTTCTTATTGAAAGTAAACAATTTGCATTTTTAGCAGTTGCGTAAAACAAATGTTTTAATAGATCATTTGAACTAATAATTGATATTACAAAAACCTTGAGCAAATCTCTATATATTCCTACCAAACCCTTTTTAAACAGTTGTTGAATGATAGTGTTTTTATAACTATATACACATTGTAACATAACAAAATCCACATTTTTGTTGAGTTCTGAACACATCTTTGTGTCAAACTGCGACTTCAGATCTCTTTCACAGTCTGGAGATAGATTCATCAACTCTTTGAGACACATCTGCATCCACGTCACTGACGCCATAGCGTGTGTTCACTGGATAAGAGTTTGATTCATTAGCCCCAACTTCCAACATGTAATACAGTTACTCCTACAGGGCTGTCTTCTACCTCACTTAGTTAAGTGCAACTGTGATAAATTGAGTATAGCTTTAAATGCAGCGCAGCAGCTTCCAAACATTCTCAACAACAAAACTAATCTAAATATTTATCAGGAGCCAAACAATGCTGAGATTTCTTAGATGACGTGTGGAGGGAAGTCTGTTTACAAATGACTCAAACATTAAAAAGTTATGGTTGCAGATGGAAAATGTCAGAGGACTCGGCGACAGTGAAGACAAGCAGCAATGAATATCGCTCCATAAAAATTCAAAATGATTTCCAGGCAGTTCTGTCTTCCAGTGAACTTCACAGTCAGTGGAGGAGGGCAGGTCCAGTCACAGATAACATTTCACTAGGTTCTCCCGCAGGCTTTCTCCCCTGCGCTACCGAAATACTCTCTGTGGATGTCATCATGTAGCTTTTCTGTTCCAGTTTAGTGCATACCTGCACATAGGGTAACTAATATTTTGATATATTTTAATATTGAGGCTTAATTTTAACAGAAAAGAATGGAAAAGAAATCAGATATCTTTTACCTTCCTGGTGTGACCAACATAACTAAATAAATGTGGAACAACCTTTTCATAAAGGTGAGAAAACTCACATTTCTTAAGCAAAACTTAAAATGTATGGAGAGAAAATAGAACCGAATGGGCACAAATGTGATTTACATCATTAACAAGTGAAAGATTTGATTTATACATGTGTACAGTGTGTAACCTTGGATACTCATAAAAGTTTTACACATGCACAAAAATAAAGATTTTCAACTTCACAGATATAATACTGATAGATCTGCTCCACTCTGACCCTGCCTATGTTTTCCTTCTCTGGGAGCTGGGTTTCTTTTTGGAGTGATACTGCTCAAACAAACATCACACTAGCCAAAGAAACAAGCAGGAAGATCCACAATGGTTCTCACAGTTTGGATGTGATGATTGGTTAAAATGAAGGAACTGTTTTTTTCCATGATTGCAATGAGATTCTGGGAATCATTGAAATATCTCGAAAACACTTTGGATGGACTGCAGCAGTTCTGTTTCGTAATTGTGGCAGTGGCCCAGGTCCCTGAAACTAAAGAAGTGTTGTGGAATTCAGTTGTGAGGCTGAATAATACACTGCTCAAAAAAAGTACGGGATTACATCAGATCTTGATTAATGAATCAATCAAATTGAAAATCTTTACAGATCTACATGGTATAATTTGTTGAGAACAAAATGATGTTACAACAGTCAATGGAAACCAAAATCATCAACCCACTGAGGGCTGGATTCAAAACCACACTGAAAATCAGAGTAAAAAAAAATCACTGGCTCATCCAACTTGCGGGAATTTCATCACAGCAACTCCTGACAACATCTAAGCATGCTCCTGATGAGTCTGCCTTCATCATCCAGAATCTGCCAACATGAAGCCGGGCATTGTTCTGCACCAGGAGGAACCCAGGGCCCATTGCATTGCATAGGTAGTTTTTGCATAATCCTTGATGGATTGATGGATGGATGGATAAGATAGATAGAGATATAGAGAGACAGACAGACAGACAGATAGATATACAGATAGATAGATAAATAGATACATAGAGAGAGAAAGAGAGAGAGTTAAAGAGACAGATAGATAGATAGACAAAAACATTCGATCATGCTGTTTCAGCAGTGCACAGACGTCCGTAACCAGTTTACATCAATAGGGGGCGATACAGAGTCGGAGACTTGGCTGAAGTCACCGTCCCACTTTCTCCTCTCTGAGGGCGTGTGTGTGTGTGAGTGTGTGAGTGAGTGTGTGAGTGAGGGTAGGTGAAGGCGCAGTGCGACGGAGCTGCAGCACCCAGAGGCAGCAGACTTTTTTCCTGCTGGGTCTGTTCCTCTCACACTGACCATCTGAAAACATCTGGATCTCCTCCTCTACAGCTGTGGGCCTGTCTGCATCTCTCTGCTCCGGGTTATCTCACTTTATCTCCAGTTTTTATGAGTTGGGAATGAGATTCTCCTGAACTGCGGCTGCTGTAATGAGATGTAAGTAAAAACCTTGCTGCTGTTGCTTGTTCTATATATATGTGTGTGTGTGTGTGTGTGTGTGTGTGTGTGTGTGTGTGTGTGTGTGTGTGTGTGTGTGTGTGCCTCTCTGCTCCCATGAAACACTTGAACTGACTCCAAACTTTTCCTGCTGAAGCCTCTGTCCTAGGGTCAGTGTGTGTCCTGCTCCTGCTGCTGCGGGAGCCTGCATGCCTGGGAGATGAGGTTACATCCAGCACAGGTGGGTGAGAGGTCAGCAGGTTGGACCCACCACTGTTGTACCTGCATTGTAATAACATCACATTTGCTGTAGTCTGGTCATTTTGTGGCTCTTACAGCTGCCAGAGGTCTTCCGCAGGAAACACATGCAGGAATCGGTGAGCCTGCATGCCTGTATTTTTCATTATCCCTCCCTCAGGTCTTCCTTTAAATACACTTAATTTATGTGGCCCATCATGCCTGCAGACATTCCTGTAATCCAAGACAGGTCCTGACAGGCCTGGTAACAATGACATCATTTCATTAGCAAGAGGAGACACAACTGAAAGATTATGTATATTAAGTCATGTTGAACACATTATTTATCTTCTGAAACGGCTCATAAAAAGGAAAACACATCACTGCAGACTGTGCAGAGCTTCATTATGTATTGTCCTAGCTTGTTTTAGCCTCTTGAAGAGACTCTAAAAAAAGATTATGTATAAAACTCCATGTTTAACTCTTTATTCCTCCTCTAGAACAGATCAAAATAAAGGAGGATGACTGCAGAGGCTCTTTTTGTATTTTACCTTCATATTAGCCTTTTTCAGGTCTCAGCATTTAATCTGGACAAGATTTCAATATGCCTCACTACTTGTCATTGAGTTTACATGCATTTCTTGCAATGAAGCCCCTGAACAGACTTTTCCAGCCTGACCTGTGCAGTCACAACCCCCCACCCCCGTGTCACACCTCTGAGCTACATACTATGATACCATTCTGCCCTCAGGCCAAGACCTCACACATACTTGTGAAGAAAAACCTTCACCTCCTTGTTTCTTTTTCATTTGCATCTGATTTCTGCTTCCACAAGCTCCGGGTCTTCTTGTTTCTCAGCATGACATTGTTTCTTTTTTCCAGTGGAGGCCAATCACTGGGGGATTTACTACTGTCGACTTGGAGACAGTGATTCCTCCTCACATCTGAATCTGTAGCACGATAGAGGGTGTGTGAGGTTTATTTAACCCTTCATACATTTGAACTTCATCTGACCCGTGGAATCAGATAGTATCAGTGTGTGGCGCTGGAGTATGCTGCTGGTAGACAGAAAGGCCTGGGGGCTGTGTACAGTCATGTTTCTTTTTATCATGCATTTATCACTGGAGCTACTCCCTGAGCTATTCTATAATATTATGAATTCTCAGGTATCTGTGCATAAATCAATGTAGGAATGTCTGATTCAAGCAGTCGTATCTCTCTCCAGGACAGTTGAGAGACATCGTCTGGTAATATGTGGGAATAAACTCAACTCAAATAAACTTTCCTCAAAATACCTTTCAAGTGCCATGGTATTCAAATTTCTTTTATGCAGCATGTTTTTTACCAAATTCTGACAGTATTTCCCACAATATTCCTGAAAACCTGAGAGCAAGAACTGTACTAGGGGTATTAAAATGGAATTACCTCACAGGCAGATGTTTTGAATAAAAGTAAGTCCTTTTTGGGGAAGAAGTGATGATCTAATCCGAGACAGATGTTAAAGTGGGCGGATAAATCACTGTCCAAGCCACAGATGTTTTAAGCTAGTCAGCATGATGTTTGATCTCTTTTCCACTTTCTCACAGTTTCTTCCACTTCTCGTTTTCCACAGTGAACCCGTGCTGCTATTTCCCCTGTCAGCACTGGGGTGTGTGTGTCAGGTATACTGAGGACAAGTATGAGTGTGACTGCACCCGCACCGGCTTCCAAGGAGAAAACTGCACCATCCGTGAGTGAGAGCAGCTTTTGGCGGAATTTGAAATATCATCTCATTCCTTTGTGTTGGAGCTAGAAGGGGTCAGGATGGTTGGCTGATGAAAGGGCTTTCATTTTGTTGTTGTTAAAACAGGAAATAGTGCAACATAGCCTGGCTCCTCAGAGTTAGGAATTCTCGTCTAGTCCCAAATATTTGGAGGAAAAATTGGAGAAAAAACAGGAGCTTCTGCCAGAAAGAGAGCAGCTGGATGAGCCCTGCACCGGAGCATCTACTAATTCTGCCGCTCCACTTCTCCTTAACAAGGAGCACTCACACACTAGAGACAATGATTTGATGTGATGTATATGGCTGATAGTTATGCAGTTACATCACATTCACTCGGCATAAGGACAATAAACCATTGCTTTGGTTGTGCAAGATAGAGGGAGAGAGAAGCAATGTCAAACAGGATAAGGGGAAATGCAATGGAAATGCAATGGAGCGGTAGTGGATGGTGAAGGATTGAGTCATTCTTGTCATATTTATTCTCGTAAACTGATAGTGTGATTTTTTTTTTCCAAATAAACTTGCATACTCTCTTGTGGTCAAATTAAAATATTTGTTGCAGTAAAAAAGGAAATGAGTCAGCAAATAATTATTATATTATTGTATAACCAGTTAAGTGCATACTTCCACCATGACCCAACAAGAACCTTATTTAAACTCAATAGATTTTTGCATATTTGGATTTGCACCAAATTACTCACAGTAATAAATATCAGTCCCCTAAACATGCCTTTTTTTGTCATCAAGGACCATTAATAGTTTAATCGTTTTCATTAAGGCTCTATCTAAATAGGGCAGAACCTCAATAAATGAGATTACACACTTGTTAAACCTACAATTAAATCTATGAAAATGTTGAAAAACACTCTGTTGCCAAAATGTAATGGATTCTTCCTGGACTCATACCACGTCCTTTGTTTTCCTACAATGCAACACAGTGCCAGATTTTCTCTGTGGTAATTTGATGAAATTACTGTACTTGAGAAATTCAACATAAGGGACAAAGCACAAAAGTGAAATAATATAATATAGGTATTAAAACTGGATACGGTTTGATTAACACAAACCAACTGGCACACAGTAAGTCTGGAGTTTTTGGGCCCTTTCTCCAGGCATCCATCCTTGCTTATCGTACAGAGTGTTTTATTTCCTTGTCCTTTCACTGCAGCCGAGTTTTGGACCAGAGTGCGTCTGTTCTTCAAGCCCAGCCCAGATGTGGTACATTATATTCTCACCCATTTCCACTGGCTCTGGGACATCATCAATCACACGTTCCTGAGGGAGGTTCTCATGCGGCTGGTGCTCACAGGTTGGGAGTCGCTAAAAGAAAGTCATTCCGCTGGATGTCACAAATTAGAAAGTTATCTGATGACCTGATTTTTTTTTTGTGTGTGAACAGTCAGGTCCAACTTAATACCAAGCCCTCCAACCTTCAACTCAAAGTACAGCTACCTCAGCTGGGAATCCTACTATAACGTGAGCTACTACACTCGGCTGCTGCCCCCGGTACCAGCTGATTGTCCCACACCTATGGGGGTCAAAGGTCAGACACTCAAATATATTGAATTTAAATTGATTAATTTTTTTAACTTAAACTTAATTAGGAACTATATTTATAATGAGCATTTATGCAACATCACTTACAGATATGCTTGTATCATGAACATAGACTGGACGACGTGACTGCTCCATAAAAGTTAAGCCAAAGCATCACTATCTGGAGGATATTGGTCAAAAACCCTGCCAGTACTCGTCAAATAAAACATTTTCAAAGTATGTGCCATTTTAGGTAGTTCTTATTACACTGATGTTTCTTCGAGTGTTCATTTTTCCTGATAAGTTTTAATTTGTTGATATACAAACAGTGTGAAACGTCATGATTGACAGCTGATACTGACTCACATTTGGTCAAACTCATGTATAGGTGGTATCTCACGGCCACAGCTCCTCCCCCTGATCGCTGCTGCAGACTCTGGCTCTAAATGTGCAAGATTCGGCGTTAGAACGTCAAATGTTGATAAATGAAACTGTGAAACATAATATGTGACAGCATCAGTATCATCAAATACAGAACATGACCTTTGCCCAGTGTTTTGTCAGTGACATCAAACCTCTCACCACAGTGAAATACAGTGCATGCAGATTATTGACCTTGAATGGTTCCGAGGTGCAGTGAGATGTGGCCACTGTATCAGTACTGTTTTCACAAACAGACTGTTTTAGTATTATGACTAGAGGTGTGATGTATCTGCGCCGTGTGTCGTGTGCAACGTTATGCTGTCTCTTTTTAGGCAAGGCTTCGCTGCCTGACCCTGAGCTGCTGGTTGAGAAGCTGCTGAAGAGAAGGACGTTCAGACCCGACCCCCAGGGCTCCAACCTCATGTTCGCTTTCTTCGCACAGCACTTCACCCACCAGTTCTTCAAGACCTACAATCGCATGGGCCTGGGCTTCACTAAGGCTCTTGCACATGGGGTTAGTCCTCTTACAGCTTTTATTCTACTAAATCATAATACAGTTTACTTGATTAGCACTCGTCTTAATGGTAAAAGGTAGTCAAAAGAAATTAAATAAGAAAACATAAGGACATGATACTGTTATGATTAGATAAAAACATAAAATAACAAAGATGTTTTTTATCCTCTGATTAAAGGAAAGCATGTAAGTTGTAAACGTCAGTGGGCTGAGAATTGATCCTTGGAGAACACCACAATGGTACTGACACAGGGGAACACAAACCTGCTAACACAACAAGAGGAGGCTCTTCATGAGTGATAAAAATTAGACAGTTTTAAAGCAATCTACGCCATTTGCTATCTTTTTAAAAGTTTAATGAGTGTGTCTTACAACTGGACCTCTAAAGTCCATTAATTAACATTTTATGTATAATTTGTTATAGTTAGAACCAGTGATTCCATTACCCGGCTGCTGGTGGTAGCTTTATATTTATTATATTTTATAGTTAATAGTTATAGTTATCAGCTCCAAAAGTTAATCATCTGGAGCTACCCTCCCATGTAATATAAATATCACATTTCGTGAAAATCCATCCATGCATTGTTGATTTATTTTTTCCAAACACACAAACAGGCAGGGGCAAAAATATGTGCACATGGGGGATAAGGGTTTATGGTTTCTTATGGAAATGTGTTTTTGTAAATGGGGCTATGTTGCTAATGACAGAAAGGCAACAGTTACGTCATTTATTGAACAAAGTTAATAATTCATTGTGATTTCATGACAGTTTTGTTATTTGGAGTGAAAGTAGAAAAACTTTATAGAATTCTACACCAATGTTTGTCTTTTTAGTCGATGCATTTGTATGTATGCATATAATGTCAATTTTTAATGAAAGAAATAGTAGTTTTGAATTTAATTTTTGTATTTTTTGTCATGTGTACAGGTGGATGCAGGGCACATTTATGGAGACAATCTAAAACGTCAGCTCCAGCTCAGGCTTCATAAGGATGGAAAGCTCAAGTATCAGGTGAAAGAGAAAACATATTGAGACTTATCGCAACATGTTGAGCACAACTTTGTGTTTTTAAGGTTTAAGTTTGTCCTGAGCAGCACCTGCCAGATATGATTGATGTAAATGTGTTGAGTTTTCAATTGTCATGTTCTAGAAATACAATCTCAGATGAAGGGGAAAGAATATTTTGCAGTGAGTTGTTGTTGTATAATTAATTAATATTACTATTTCCCCCCATTAGTTAATTGATGGCGAGGTCTACCCTCCTTCTGTAGCTGATGCACCAGTGAAGATGAGTTACCCCCCTGGGGTCCCCCCTGAGCATCAGATCGCTATTGGTCAGGAAGTGTATGGACTCCTCCCTGGTTTGGGAATGTACGCCACACTGTGGCTGAGAGAGCATAACCGAGTCTGTGACATCCTGAAGGCAGAACATCCCATCTGGGACGACGAGCAGCTTTTCCAGACCTCACGTTTGATCATCATTGGTGAGCTGGGCACAATTTTAAAGGAATAGTTTGACATTCTGGGTAATACTGTGTGTTGATTTGTTTTCTTGCTGAGATACATAAGAACAGTGATACCAATCTCATGTCTGTCTCATAGTGATGCCAACTACTTAAAGGTTTTGTACTCTGTACTGTGTAATGTAACATATTCATTCATCAGCCTGAGCTTTACTTTCTTTTTTTTAATGTCATCTAAAGCTCAGTTAGCAAAAGGTTTATTCCCCAAAATGTCAAGCTATTCCAACAATGTATTGAAGATGATTTTTCAGTTTTTATCTTGTTTGCTTAGTGTTGGTTCACTCGATTTCTTTAGGTGTATGTTAGCACACCTCCACATAAGCCCAGGCATGCACCCAAACTTTGTTGATGTTTGAAACAGTCCAGCTGTGACTCAATATCAGGTTAATGCATTTTACTCATCACTTGCCCTCTTCTTTTGGCTCTCTCAGGTGAGACCATCAAAATCGTGATAGAGGAGTACGTGCAGCACCTCAGTGGATACCTGCTGCAGCTGAAATTTGATCCCACCCTGCTGTTTAGCGCCCAGTTTCAGTACAGCAACCGCATCGCTCTGGAGTTCAGCCAGCTCTACCACTGGCACCCCTTGATGCCCGACAGCTTCTTTATTAATGGAGACGAGCTATCGTACCCACAGTTCCTCTTCAACACGTCTGTCCTCACACACTATGGCATCGAGAAGCTGGTGGATGCTTTCTCGCGGCAGGTTGCTGGACAGGTAACAAACATTAAAACTAATATACAAAGAAGAATATATTGTTATAACTAAGTGTTTAACTCATATAATTTTTTATATATTAGGGGAAAAATACAGAAAAATCTGTGTGTAACAGGATGTGATTAGTAATGTGTGAATGTTTCTTTTAATGCGCATTTCATCCAAAGATAACGTGTAACGCGATTTTTAAAGCTTCATTCATATTGTATTGTGTATGATGTCCTTTCATCCCACAGATAGGCGGGGGTCATAACATCAATGCTGTGGTGACCAGAGTGGCAGTGGGAGCCATAAAGGAGTCCCGCCAACTCCGCATTCAGCCCTTCAACGAGTACAGGAAGCGCTTCAACCTGAAGCCCTACACGTCGTTCAAACAATTCACTGGTGAGTAAAACCGTTCTGTGTCCAGACCACACACAGCAGAGAGCCTGTGATTAATGACTTCAACAAGTTCACGAGAACAGCTGAACAAGTACATTCTTGAAATACAAGGCATCTTATCAAGTTCTCATTATGTTCCTTAGAATATTACTCATTGCAAATGCAATGTTTTCCTACACCTGCTTTTCTGTGAGGGGAAACCTTGGAAGACATTTTTTAACACGGTCCTAAATTGATATTCTGCACTGCTTCTCATACAGTGCACTGTATGCATGTGGATAATTCAATGCATTTGATGTTGTATGGCGACTTTCATCAGGTCGTTTTAGCATATTAATTTATTAACAGAATTAAGACTATGTATACGGGACCTTAGTGTAGGATTACTTAATTGAGCTAAATGCTAAACTTGTGTCTATGTCATATACTGTATGGGAGGAAGCCAAAGTGTCTTGATTGCCTCCTGGTGGCTGGTCACAGTATAAGTCATAAACCTTGCCTCCTCCTTGTCTGCAGATGGGACATGGGTTAAAATAAAAAGTCAAAAATGGCCAACATATACAGTTTCTGTCATTTTAGATAGTTCTTATCACACTGATGTTGTTAAATATGATTTTTTCCAACAAGTTTAGTTTTGCTGAAACTGTTATGACACAACAATTACTACTGCCCTGTCTCTGGCTCTAAGTGACATCAAAAGAGCAAGATGGTGGCAGCTAGGCCATACTAGTGTGACATAAAATCTATGAATGAATACTTACACTTATGTATATGCTAGCATTAACTGTTCTCTACTTGTGGTTACTTTTGCAGATAATGAAGAGATTGCGAGTATGCTTGAAGAATACTACGGTGACATCGATGCTCTTGAATTTTATCCTGGCTTGATGTTGGAGAGAACACGACCGAAGAACATATTTGGAGAGAGCATGGTGGAGATGGGTGCCCCCTTCTCCCTCAAAGGGCTTCTGGGAAATCCCTTGTGTTCTCCAAATTACTGGAAGCCCAGCACCTTCGGAGGCAAAGTCGGCTTTGACATAGTGAACTCTGCCACACTAAAAAAGCTGGTCTGCCTGAATACCAGGACGTGTCCTTATGTGGCCTTTAGAGTTCCCACAGAGGAGAAAAGTGACAGTAAAGTATGGACTGATGAGCTATGACAGACACCAGACATAGAGTAAACATGAAGATAGAAGAGGTGGCTGCTAAAACACAAACAAGCGTTGGAGATGCTTTGCGTGGAGAGCACACAGTAATGCTAGTTTGATCAACACTGGAGACAAGGGACACAGAAACATATAAGCATATAATTTGTGTTAAATGCTTAGTGTCTGATGGCTGAAATACTATCATCAATACATGTTCACATTGTCTAGTCACATATAGGTATGTAACGTCTGTAAGTTTATTTGTAGGTTTTTGGTTTTTTTTATGCAAAATGTACATTCATAGAAATAAAAACCATAGACACAAAGTGGGTTATTGTTTGTTTTCACTTTCCATTCATCTGCACCTTCTCATGAGTCCAGTGTTTCTTTTGGCCTGACACCACATACTAATGGCAACAGAAGAGAGATTAGCCCAATAGTTATTTTTTCAGTAAGAAGAATGTACAGCAGGGTTTAAACACATTAAAACTGAAGCAATGGGTATCTCAAAGCTAGAAACATTTATGTTAAGTAAACTACAGTCACATTTGGGTTTATTTATGTCAGAAACCAGCCAGAAAAAACACACCCATAGAGAGTGAAACCATATTCTAGTATTTGTATAATACATGGTACAATATATGTATAATTTGTAGATAAAACTGATTATATGATTTTTAAAGAAAGGGAATAATATGTAGTTGAAGACTACAACTAGCAGTAGTGGTAGTAGAACAAGTATGTTTCATAATTATACTGCCATCCAGTTTTGAAGGTTGGAACTGCATACTTCCAGCATGTTCTGTGTGGGTCTGTAAACCAGAGCCAAGCCCAAATAGTTGGGGCAGCTGGCAGCAACAAGTAGGAAAATGAAAATCCTCTCCAGGATGATCATTAAAAGGACGGTTGGAATTAAATGAAAAGGTTAGAGAAAATATGAAGTTTACTAGAAACAAAGCACAATAGCAAATTGAATGTCCTGAATGACAGAGGTGAACACATGGAGCCCAGGAAATATGTTCAGTCTTTAAGTTATGGCTTTAGAACACTTTGTGTATTTGAGGGCATTGACATATTCACTAAGTTTATTCCGTTATTTAACTGGAATGAGTGGTTTAGGTTTGAACCAAGTTTTCATCAGTGAATTTGATATTTAGCAAGTAAAAATGAATAGACTCCATCAACCAAAACAAAATCTGCAATGATGGATGGACTCTAGAAAGTCTGAACATGGTTTCTCTGTAAATGATAAAATGAGAACTCAATAACAATCAATGACCAGACATTATAACATTACAGAAGTGTTTTTATTTGAATTCATTTCAACTCTTGTCATTTTCTGAGGCAAAGACCAAGGGAAGGAGACATATCTGTTAATATGCAAAATGTCCTGCGTCACTGGGATAGACCACATTTGCCTGTTGTCTTTACGTACCCTCGGTGAAGTCAAAGTTTCTACTGATGTAACAATAAAACGAAACGCAAATGTGCTGATTTGAGGAAAACTCTGTGCTGCTGTAACACACAACAATATTCTGTCGCCACTAGTTGTTTAAGTGGATTTCAGTGTGAGTAATGCCGAGGTCGCACCTCCTCGGCAAACGTGGGCTGTCTTTGCATTTATGTTTCATATTTACTACAGCTCTGTGGGGCGTGAAGGCAGCACAGTTCGGTCATAGTGGCTTGAGGTGGCTAAAGCTAGCATTAGCCCGAGTGAACGGTGGGAGCAGGGGATTTATTACTAGCACCGGTTGGCATTAACATCCAGGTAGGATTAAAAACAAACTGTGAGTATTTTGCATACATTAATATCAGTGTATAGTGTCTTAATCGAGTCGTATTGAACGGTCGGCTCGGTAACCCGTAGCTTATGTTTACGAACCAGCGTTAGCTAGCTCAGTCGGCTAACGCTCACTTAGCTGACTTTCGCAAACGCAGATAGAGTTTGCTGGTTCGCCCGCTGTCTCACTCAATAAGCAGCATAATAGGATTGTCTCTGTCCTCTGTGCAGAAGCGTGGAGTTACTTGAGGAAACAACAGTGACCGTGAACAGTTAGCTAATGTTGATTAGCTGTCACACCAGCACCTATAGCAATTACTGTAGCTGCTAACCACAGCCCCACTGTTTAAATATGTTTGAGGAATGATATGTAAAGGTAGGGGATGTGTATTATCGTTCATTGTCACCGGATGCCAGTCAGATTAGACAAAAGAGCTGTGCACAGTTTTATGACATATCTGTTATCAAACAGCCTGACAGCTATTTAAGTGAGAAGGGTTTTATCTAGGGTGTGTGCTTCCTCGTTTCTCCATCTGTGCATATGAGCTGCTTTATCTACGGCTCAGTGCATCATTAAAGACCTTTAGGCTCAAGGTTTATTCACTGACACACTAAAGTCAAAGCTATGCATAGTTAGAATGTCCTATTTTTGAAATAAGCTCTTTCTGACCCATAACAACTTGGATGGCTGTCATGGTGGATTATTACGCTTCACTGATTCATGTGCTCTGTCTGAATTTGAGTGATAAGACTGCTGTTAATCTGTAGAGGTGCAATCTGTGAGGCTGCAACACAGTGAACATTAACACAATTGGTAGTTTTGTCTCGATAAATCCTCACGTTTTAGCAAACATTTTGTATTTTTGCTTGATAAATAATGGAAAATGCTCAATCGATTACTAAATAGTTTCTAATTGTTCTAATTTTTCCATCAACTACTTAATTTATCTATAATAGTTGTAGCTCTAGTCTGATTAAGCAAGAATTTTGAGTTTGCTTAGTTTACAATACCATCTGTTAATTCAAGAAAAAAAAAATTAGATTAGTTCATATTATTGATTTTGCTTAATACTCACACTTTCCCTTGCCGGCAATGCAAAGATGTAGGATTAGCTTTCAGTCAAGTTGATAATCAGAATAAACAGATACTTAATAATACCGTTTTATATGAAAGCAGTCAAAATTTGTTCAGAGACTCGTATCAGTGTCCTGTTTCCCACAGTAGTAACTCTTTTACTTAGGTGAGCTGTTGTCATGACGACTCTGGACGACAAGATCCTGGGAGAGAAGCTGCAGTACTACTACAGCAGCAGTGAGGATGAAGGCAGTGACAATGAGGATGAGGATGGGGAGAACAAGACCATCAGGGATGCTAACGTCGCTGAGCCTGAGATCGACTACAGCGCTGATGGAAGTGCTGTTAACACAGGTATCAGATATCATAAATACAGACCCCCGAGCTGAATCTAATGATTATTTTCATTATTATTTAAGTCCTCTTAGTATATAGAATCATATCCAATGTCTTTTTATATCCAATACTAAAACAGAAAAGAATACTATGCTTCACATAATTTCTATGTCAACAAAGTCAATAACAATGCTATCTATCAATGCTGCATTTAACATTTATATGGACATCATATTTAGTAAGGACATGGTTCATGGTTATAGTAGTTAGTATGATGACAGTGACGTTGGCTCTTCCTTCTCAGGACCAAAGGGTGTGATCAATGACTGGAGGAAATACAAGCAGCTGGAGGTGGAACAGAAACAAGAGCAGAAGAAAGAGATGGAGAGACTGATCAAGAAACTGTCGATGACCTGCCGCTCTGACCTAGACCTGGAAAAAGACAAGGACAAACAAAAAGAGCTGCAGGAAAAAATTAAAGGCAAAGTAAGTAGGATTGTGAAGAAATACACACATGTGAAAGAAATGCTGGTTGATAGTGTAAATCTGTTATGTTGGACAGAACCACACTGGTTGCGTTGTCCATTTCTGGTCAGCTAAGCTAAGGTAGCTGGCAGCTGGTTGAAGATTAATATTAATCATAAACCAACACAGGAGTCATATCAATCTTGTAATCTGTTATACTCTACAGATGACAATGCAGGAGTACAATATGCTCCAGGAAGACGAGGATGATGAAGATTTCCTCCAACATTACCGTATGCAGCGCATTGAAGAGATGCGGCGCCAGCTCTGCCGCGGTAAACGCTTCGAGCAGGTCTATGAGCTCACCAGTGGCGAGGACTTCCTGGAGGCTTTAGACAAAGAGGATAAAAGCACGCTGGTCATGATCCACATCTACGAGCCGGACATCCCGGGCTGTGAGGCCATGAGTGGCAGCCTGCTGTGTCTGGCTCAGGAATACCCACTGGTGAAGTTCTGCAGCGTCCGCAGCTCGGCCATCAGCACCAGCGCACTGTTCAGAGACAGCGCTCTGCCCGCTCTGCTTGTATACAAAGAAGGAGACCTGATCGGCAACTTTGTTCGGCTCACAGACCAGCTCGGGGAAGATTTCTTTGCTGTGGACCTGGAGGCCCTGCTGCAGGAATACGGCCTGCTGCCTGACAAGCCCCCGATGGTCCCCAAGACGGTTCGCAATGGAGCCATCATACAGAACATTGCGAGTGATGAGGACTCTGACCTTGATATTGACTAGAGCAATGATATCTTAAATACATTGTGTGCTTGGGAATGAATAGAGTACGTACAGTCTGCATGGACAATACATCATTCTTACATATTTATGTGGACCCCATGTGATAATGGACTGAGCCAGGATTGTTTACATTTAATTTTCACTAAGCAACATACTAGAAACACTGAAGCAGAGTGAAGAGTAAATGCACAGAAATCATGGTCCAGTGGGCATTAATCATTCCATGGTAAATATGAGTTATATTTAATGAGAGTAAAAATAGCCATTTGTTAAGCACAGTGTGAATGCTGTATATGTAGTTTTAATGTTTTGTTTGAGCTTTGACTGTCAACTATTTATTTGTTGTGTTAAGGAACCCGTGTGTAGGATTTAGTGGCATCGAGTGGTAGGGTTCCAGATTGCAACCACCTGAATACACCTCTAATCAGCCCTTCAAAACGCTAAAGGCCCTCACTAGAGCCAGTGTTTGGCTTGTCCTCTCTTGGCTACTGTAGAATGTGGTGGTACAACATGGGAAGAGGTGGAAGAGGAGCCTTTCTTTATGATTATCTTAGTGATCATGCACAAATAAAAACGTAGATATGAATAATTTTTTCTTAGATCCCCCTAAATTCTTTCACACTGGTCCTTTAAAACACATTTTCCTGTTTTTGATCCATGTGCATCCTCTTTGTATCATCTGTGTCACTCTGTCGAATACGAAACATTCAACAACCCTCTGACTTTAAGTTCATTTTATAACTTTTATATGTGCTGTACCATTTCAAATAGTAAGAATAATAAAGTTTAAAGTCTTTGGACTCACTGCCTGTTGCATCTTCATTATAAGTTATGAAATAATGCTCAATAAACTAAAGGAGCTTTATCACGTAGTTTTATAATGGCAAAGGCAGTCTGTGTTTCCTGCACTGGATTAAGATTGCATAAGTATTACAGATTCACAGGAAGTGGTGCATGTCTATTTCTTCCTGATGGTTTTTCAACACAACTTTCAATTTTCAGCCTCTATCTGTAAATATCACAAAGTTACTGTTCTTTTGCACATCCACTACAACAACTTCATAAATTGAGAATATTGTCATAATAGTTACAGCTTCTCCTGCTGCCTCCATGTGGCTAAAAACACCAGTGAATGCTGCTTTAATATGGTCACAGTTAGTTCAACAACACACTGAGCTGCCTGAGTTTGTAGCCATTTATTGTATTCACAGATCAGTACAAGTCAATAGTAGTATCTACATTTTTAAAGCATTGGTTCTCTTTGCTTGTTAATTTCTAAAAAAAAAAWATTTTCTTCTTAAATTACAATTAATTTACTCTCACAATATTATGACCTTGTTCTCAAAGTCTCTGATTTTTTTCCCAATACAACCATCACACTAGACAGTTGAAATAAGTAGCGTAAATTACTACTTAATATATATATATATATATATATATATATATATATATATATAAAGCAGAAGTCTATTTTGTTTTGGTTAGATGCATAGCAGCCAAAGTTATAGACTGAGTTAAAAAAGAGTATATATAATACATATATATATATATATATATATATAAGAGTATCTTATATGATTAATTCCCATTATCATCACCATCATAGCAAGATTACTGAGTGAAAGCATGAGTTTAAAAAATCACCTGGTCTCATGAGCACAATGGGAGTACTGAGATGAGACTCAGGGTTTAACCTGCTATAATCTGGTTCTGTGATGACACATCAGCATCAACAGGCTCCAACTCTTCTGCTCCAGGTGTTTTAGCTCACACAGGTTGAGGAAAGTAATCACTCGGAGCAGGAAGAACCACAGTTAGCACTAATCTCTGCAACAATATCACAACTCATCACTCCGCTATGTTATAATGACACACTGTAGTTCTGCTCTTATACCCACTGGGCCATGAGAAGCGACACCGGGCTCAGGCGGCCCACACGCAGCTCATCAGCAGCAGGGCGAGGCAGGGTAATGTCAGCAGCAGGAGGGTTGTCTCCTCATGGAGGGAGGGAGACGCTGAGCCATGCAGGTCATGTCCACAAAAGACATGTTCCAGCAAGAGATGGGTTTCTGCACTGATGCCTGAGAGGAGGAGAAAAAGGATACATTCGCTCATACAGGGGCTTTATCTTTACTATCCAATGAGCAACAAACATTTAATCAAAACACAACGGTCATTTTCTCAAGGCACCTTTCATAGTGAAGTTGAGACCTTAAAATATTGTAAAGAAATGTAACAGTTCCCACAAAGAGCAAACACACTGGCAACTGTGGAGAGAAAAAACATAATGCAGGGGGCCATCTGAGTGAGTGGAGAAAAATGAGGGAGAAAGGAGAGGTGGGGGGAAAAGAGGGGAGAGAAGAAAAGGAGCAGGGGACCGGGAAGAGTTGGGGAACTGTCGTAACATGCTTTTTGTTTTAAGGACAATAATAAGGGTGATAGAGAGAGAGTGAGAGCAAGTGAGGGTCAGAGAGAGAGAGAGAGAGAGCAAAAGATAGTAAGAGAGAGAGAGAGAGAGAGAGAGAGCATGTATCTGCTTGAAGCCTCATCAGGCCCTAGCTGATTAACAAATCATTTCATTATCCCTCAGGTGCTACCATGACCTGTTAAGTCAAACTGCAGCCCACATCCTCATGAAATCAATGCCAACTAATGGTGTGGCCTCTGCCACAACTTGTCCACTCGATGCTGTTAATCTGCTGGAAGCTTTTCACAGCTGGTGTCAGTCCTCTGTGTATCCAGTGAAATGTTTCCCGGGGAGGCAGCGATACGCACCGTGTTGAGACCACTCGTCCCACATGTGCTGAACGTCCTCTTCGTGGTGCTCGTGGTGTTCGTGATGATCTGCGTCTTCAATAAAACACAAATAACTGGTGTTATTGTCACAGTGCAGATGAAAGCAGGTGAAATAAATGACCAGAATCATGTGTGGGTAAATCATTCCTCAGTCTGAGGTCACACAACTGAAAGCTTAGTGAATCCTGAGTATTTGGGGAGAATGTGAACAAATAGAAAGCAGCAAAGAGAGGATTAAGGGAAAACAGACTGGACACCAACAGGAAATGAAAGAATGAGGAATGACTAAAAAACAGACAGTTGTTTTGACCCTGGGGACCAAACACTCTAAGCCCAGCTGCAGAGGCATCTAGAGGGGAGGGAAGGCAGGCGATTGTCTGGTCCCATGTTACGTAACGACAGTTTTGTGAGAACCCCCTTAAATTCTATAATCCAATGAACAGGAACCTGCAACAACACCATAGTCAGACACATCCTAATAAGGTCCCATGAAACCTGTTGTCGGCTTCTTAATTTTTCAGGAGACTAAAGCGTCTAAATGGATGTGAATGGTTGGCCTGGGGTGGTTTGCCCGTATTGTTTACTACCGTAATATCAATTATGTGCACGATATGCACTTTAAAAGAAACAAATAATAATAATTGTTTGCAGATGGGGGCTTAAGGTCCCCTGTGTCCCTTTTTACAGGGTAGCATTCTCTAAAATGAGGCAACTGGTATAAAGTTTAAATCAAGAACTAAAAAAGAAACATGTGAAAATAATCAAAGATTTTTTGAAATTATTTTGACAATTGTGCCAATACATTTCAATACTGCAGTATAAAAAAAGTTCCGTTTTTAAATGAGCTGCTAATATTGTATATAACTAGTAAACCTGCAGAAATTCTACTAATTATGAATTGTTTAAAGATTGCTCATTAATGAATGCAGTGAGTCCCATGAGGAATCCTCTGAAATATTACAATGAAGACAGTATTGCTATACTATATACAATATTACTGTACATTATTGGAGTTTTCTGTTGCACCATAATATAACCTAACAATGTTGTTTCCCATGAACCCCTGCTCCCGTCTCCTGTGGAAAAGTACCATTTGGGTGATGCCAGAGCATGCGCTTGAGTTCCCTGAGGGCCTGGGTGAGGTTCTCCAGCTGATCATGGAGGTGGATGTTCTCCTCTATCAGCGAGTGGATGGTGTCCTGCAGTTCAAAGCTCTGACCTTCCAGGACCAGCAGGGCCAGTGGCAGCAACACAAACACCAGCCTCAGTCCTCTCATAGCGTCCCAGCACACAGTCTCTATCTCATCTTCACAGACAATGCCTCACCCTGTGATGTACCACGCTCGGCATAGGACACTTTATCAGCTTAAACACAAGGGGAGGTGACAGCAGTTTGTTCTTTGTTTCCAAAGCCACGAGTGGAAAGCTGCCAGTGGGCTGTGCTGTAAAATCCATCCAATGTTTCTGCACCAGTGGCCACAGTGACTGCAGCAAGAAGCCTTGATGTTTCAGCATGATCTGCTTCAGATGACAATGTTATGCTTTACACTTATATGCTATAATCTTAACATTTGGGTTTATTGTTTTTAAGAAATGTATTTTAAATGCAGAGGAATTCAGTATTTCACTATGGCCCAAATATGAACTAAAATTTAAACATCCACACAGAACATACAGCCATCCTGCTGTTATTTTAATTAGCCACAGCTCATTTGTCCCATGCTGTGCTGTGTTCATCATCACCGGTACATTACAAGTTGTTCTCGGTCATTTAAATAGAAATAACTGGTAGAAACCTGTAGATATTGGTGTACTATAAATTGCATTGCTGTACTTAGTATCTCAATAATTATGCAAATCTGATTTAAACTTAAAACAGCTTGAAGAACTTGATCTGGTTATTGAACCATTTCTAGTCATGATGGAAAAAACATGTTTAGTGCAAAAACAAGTGAACAAAAGATTAATAAGATTCAACACTACAGAAACTGCAGTATGAATCATGCTTTCAAACTGGAACTAAAAAGTACAAATACATTTTTACCTACACTAAGGTATTCATTACCATTTGTCTATGTCTGCCAGACTCAAACATTACAGCTGCAATTTCCATAAAATTCCATAGAGAGAAGATTCAATTAAATGTGTAGCCAAAAAGGATAATGGAAGGACCCAGGAAGTTTTATTTCCCCACTTTCTTTAACATGCCAAGATACAGCATTAGATTTGGTGGTTCTGAGCCCTCGTATAATCCAGGAGACCATGGCTCACCCTACTGGGAGGTTGTGCTATTTCCATAGTCATAATTATTAATAACGCTGCATGAGACTGCAGTAATTATGTGGGACAAACTAAGACTCAGGACAATGTAGAGTTTTTCTCCAAACAAAAAAATGTTTATTTATTCATCCTTTGTATTCGTTTATGCGGTCTTTGTAGCCCTGGTACGCTTCTTTTTGACCACAACGGGCTTCTGGCTCTTCAGAATGGCACTGGCACGACGCAGGGCAGCCTGGGGAAACAAAATATAATTTTAAATACCTACTTCAAATGAAGCACAAACTCAAAACCACCACACAAACACAATATAAGACTAAATCTGACATTTTGCCAGTACACTCTACAAAGCTCACCATGCGCAGATCCTTCCTGTAGTTGTTCTTGCGAATGATGTGCCTCAGGCTGTTGAGGGTGGCACGGGAGTTCTTGTTGATAGTGATCTTCTCGTAAGAACCTGCAGGTTTGTGCTGGCCTGTGCAAAAAGAGGACAGGAATTCAAATGTAATCTCATTTGGAGTACTGATCCAAAAATATATAATGTTAAGAGTATTCCAGATAGGAGTGCAGTGGTAACTATTAGAAAGACATGAAATTCACTCTAAAAGGAAAGAAACATCAGATTTTTTGACTTTCAACAATTTAGAACATAAACTAAGTTAATCACTTGATGGAAACAGTCACTCTAGAACAAGGTTAAGAAAAATATTTTGATTTATTTTTAGTCAAGAGCCACATTCTGCAGCAGGCAGGTGGCAAAAAGCTGACCAGGTAAACATTTCACTACATCTTCTGCTTTTTAGATATTCCCTTTAATTGTCTATTTACTCAACTTTTAATTGTTGATCGCCAATTAATACAATTTTTCAGGTGGTAAAATAGGAAGTTCAATTTCTTTGTTTTTGATCACTTTATACCCTGTTGCATAATAAAATAATCCAACAACAATGTATCCATCCATCAATCTTCAGTGAACATTTGTGCTACAATGCTTCACTCAATTTAACTACACTTCATTTTTACCAGCATTCATGTGTCATGTTTAAAAATAAATGAGGTTTTGTGGAATGAATCTTTTAGCGACTCATTTGCTCTCTACACACATCCATCAACAATTTACCTCTGCGCTTCTTCAGCACGACAACGACACCTTTGCCATCGGCCGCTGGCTGAACACCAACAGTCTTCTTGTGCACCAAACCGTTGAAGCGGAAGGAGTTCTTGGACTTCAGGTTGTTGGCTTCCTGTTACATAAATAGGTTAAATTGAGACTGGTCCACCGCACAGCTTGTGTCATCACAGTTGACGGAACCTTTTAACACTTAGTTATACATTTCATCATCAACACCAGGTCTGTCACATCATTTTATAGACTAAGGCTTCATGTCTATGTTTCGTCCCAATTTCACAGTGCATACTACAACTATATAGTCAGATTCCCTATTAAATGCTTCAAGTATTTTAATGTCAATAGGAAATCAGTGTCCACATTGAATTACTAGACAACAGTATACCGAGGCTACATCACGTAGAGAACACGTTTGACACATCGATTAACATGATCACTCACGGTGCTGTAGGTCTGTCCGTTCCTCTTGATGAGGAAGCTGGAGCAGTTCCTGATCACCATCCACTGCAAATGGGCCGACATGATGAACCTGGACACAACAGAGCCACGTGTTGGTCAAGTTACACCTGACAGGTTGCAGACGGTCTTACACCATATTAACCGAAGCTAGCCTCGAGTGTGTTAGCCTAGCCTAGCTTCACAGTTACATTTGAGTTAACCACCGGTGAATATGCAGTCGTTGTAGATGATTATACACAATACGAACAGTTTTGATGAGTTTTCACTTTAAATACAAAACTCTAACTGTGGTTTCTCCATTGTTCAGTTAGCTAACATTAGCTCCACGGCTCAGCACGATGAGGCCTGGCCGGGGCGACGCGTTCATTACAGTTTCTCTACATTTCTAAAACTTCAAGTGGGCTTTGCCTTCAAATTCTAATGTGTAACCACCAACACAACAATAATCTTTAGTTCAAGGGGGAAGATAGAGACATGGAAACGAGACAAACCAACTTAAATGATCGGCGTTTAGCGACAGAAGCGACCACGTTACCTTTCAGCGGAGGAAAAGGGCCGGAGAGACCGGAAGCCGCTTTACGGAACCTCTATCCGAGATCCCTGCGCACCTGAAGCCACCTTTTTAATAAAATATTTAACCCCAAAACATTTGTTTTACATATTTAAAACACTCAAATATGATATTTATTCTCTTTTAATTAATTATATTTGAAGTTTTGCGTGGAGTTACTAAATATGACTGTCTGTGAAGTACTATTTTTTCTCAAACACAGCGGACGAACACGTCGTCGGCTCTCTCGGCAAAATCCTGACGTCATTACTATGCGCCTGGTGTTTACAGGAAACCGTCAAAAAAACACCAGACACCAAACAGCTGCGGTTTTAAACTTTCAAACAGGAGAGTTCTTTTAGATTTTATGACGAATCCATGTCCGAGCAGTAATACGATTATGTCAATAAACATCCGCAGCGTGGGGCGTCGATTTTGTGGTATAATGCTCGTGTGATTGGAAGATGTGGACGTTGTTAAGAGGTGAACATCAGCTGGAGAGCAGCTCATTTTAAAGCCACATGCCAGGTTGAAAGTGTCTTGATGTGATGGATGAAGATCTGGAGACGCTTGGTGAGCAGCTGTACACCAGGATTTACTCCGAACACAAAGAGGCTGCTGGGAAACTCACAGGTGAGCTGACTTTTGTAAACCAGCAGGATCCAACAGTGAAAACAACACCTAAAAACCAAAAGCCCCCAACTAGCATGTGTGTTGCAGGTATGTTGCTGGAGCTGCCAGGTCCTGTGCTGAGTCAGATGCTGCAGGACGAGGCCATGCTGACCACTGCTGTGGAGAAAGCCCTCAGAGCCCTGCAGCTGGAACAGGATCCAAGGTACTGGAACAGGCAGGAGGTGACTACACGTGATCTCCCTCCTCCATCACCCCGAACAGAGATGGGCTCCTCACAAGTCTGCATCTCTGAGCCACATGTATTCCCAACACAGGAGTGAGGTAGTCTATGAAGCAAAAGGCAGATGTTGTTATGGGCAACTTTGGCTCAGGAGGTAAAACAGGTCGCCCACTAACCAGAAAGTTGGCAGATTGATCCCAGTTTCCCCCTGTCCATATGGGGAAGTGTCCTTTGGCAAGATACTGAACCCCATTGTTCCCCTATGGAGAAAGTGCTGCACATAGATGCACTGTGTGTGTGTGTGTGAATGGCAATAACCACACAGCCTCGAGTATTATATAAATACTAATCATTGACCATTGATCTTTGCTGCTGTAAGTAAATTTCCCCAGTGTGGGATCAGAAGTTTATCTTATCTTGACAAAGATCAAAATGAGGTAGACAAGAGAACATGTGAAAATATAAAATAGAATAAAGTGGCAATAAATTAGAAAAATATGTTCAGAATATTCACTACAGACAGAAATGTTAATAGTAGTGAAACATACTTGAATAAAGAACAGTGGTAGAGGATGATTGCATGAGGATGTATACTGTATTTGTGCATTAAAGAGATATTGAAATAAACATATATATGTATCGTTATAGCTATTTGATCCATTTTTTAAGGTTATAGTATTATTTGGGGAATAAGGAACAATTTATATATATGGATACTGTGTGAGTGGTTCTTAAAAATGACACATCATAGAATTTATTTGTGCATAAACCAGCTTTAAAACGGTGCATTCTCACTTCTTCGCAGCAGGGTAACGTGTAAGGATGAGGACGATGTGTCTGAATCCTCTGACTCTCTCGGGGAGCAGCTATTTGAGTTGGTGGACGTCTACAACACTGGTCACTCACAAAAAATCACAGGTACGAAACTTGTCCTCAGACTAAACAAACACTGAATGCTGTGGGGTAAAATACCAATTAGTAATAAAACAGGTAATCAATCAATTTTTTAGAACATTGTACATTTCTAATTTCCCACAGAGCTGCTAGCCTCTCTGTCCTCTTATAATGTACATATAGATTAATTCATTTATATAAAAATATTTGTTTGACCACAGGAATGCTTCTGGAGCAGCACAAAGAAGCAGTTTCAAAGCTTCTGTCAGATCCCAAACTGCTGGAGGAGCAGGTGAACGTCGCTCTGCAGACATTAAAGGAGTATGTGACTTATTCCTGTTCATAAGAGTCAGTATTAATGAATGAATGAATGAATGACTGTCAACCCTTCGTTATAACGTTCCTGCTGCTTCTCTTCAGGCAGAACGAGGAGACAGACGTCAGCGACTTGTCGGACGCTGACGACACAGAGAAACTGGGAGAGAAGCTCTTCTCCCTGGTGGAGGAGATGGATTCTCTTCATGCAAATGATATTACAGGTTCCTCAGTTTATTATATGTTTATGGACATTATCATAACACTCATGATATTTCCTTTGTAATCCATGGGTCTATCTGTCTGTGTAGGGATGCTGCTGGAGATGGACCCAGCTGTTCTCCGACAGCTGCTCAGCAACCACACGATGCTGGAGGCTGCTGTTGAAAAAGCACAATCAGCTCTGGACACTGGACGATGAACTTTAACACATCACTCAAAGAGACCTGGATGAACTCGTATCCAGGCTGTGATCAGGAAGTTGAATTGTGGAGGTTTGACTGGACCAACTGTAAATAACCGTTAAACCTCTCTTCAGCTGAATTGAAGTCAATTTTGCCGCTTTCTAATACGGGTGCTCTCTTTGCCAACATGTGATTTCTCAGATAAAAAGACTCAACACAACTGCCACACAAGTGTCAAATAAAAACTATTTATCAGTTCAAGACATCACTACAAGACATCAGAGTCATTGTTGTGGGATGCAAACTTTTGCTGTATGAAAGGATTTACTTGTGTGGTTTAAAGATAAAGTGCTTATCTTAGTGTTGCTAACACATGTGTTAAAGATGACAGTCTACTTGGGCTTTGTAATTTGGTGAAATGTCTGTTGCCAACAGGAATACACAGGATTATTCTGCATTTTATCACAGCAGCTGTGTAAATGTGGTTTTATGGATGGAAATGTTGGGCTCACTGCTTTAGTTCAGACTGAACTACGGAACCACTGGATGGATTGACATGAAATCCTGTGTAGACGTTCATGTTCTCCAGAGGATAAATGCTACTGATTTTGTTGATCCCCTGATTTTTTTTCTGTAGAGCTTCTTTTTTAACTTAATACCTCAACATCCTCTTGATGGACTTGCACAAAATGTTGATGAATCTGACTGACTTTGTTGATCACTAAACTTTTTAATTAAGTGCCATCATCAAGTTAAAATTTCAGTTTGTCCGATTCTCTGTTTTATGATAAAATAACAGAACTAATGACATGTCCCTCCACCTCAGCTGTCCTAATGTTAATCAGCTGATGTTAGCGTGCTGAAACACTAAAATGGGGAAAAAGCATTAACATGGAACTTAAAAAAATGTCTATTACATAAAATATAGTCAAAAATAAATTTTAGAGTATTTTTTCATTCAAAAAAACATTTAGGGTTTTTCAAACATTGCTAAGTGTTCTTTTATACATATGGATAAACTCTGTGACTCAAACTGGGACTAGTAGCTGGTTAACAAGTGCTTCTACATTTAAATTGTAATGTGAATTTGATAAAAAAATGTAATGTGACTGTAAATCCCCCTCCATCACTTCACTGGTCAGACAAATGATCCTGATCCTCAGGCTCGTCTCATCCCTCCATTCATAATAGATTTACCTTGCTCTGCCTCTCCCACACCTCTCCCTGTCAATAATTAATTAATACCTCCGTCAATAGCATTCTTCATTATCATCATCATCATAATATCAGTTATTGATCATAAATGCATATTTGATATCTCATCTGCACAAAAAGAGCGAGTCCATTGTTTGGCTCACACCTATTAGACTTTACTCAGGTGCAGATACTTACTGAGATACACAATAGATAGATTTAATTTGTAATATGTAATGAGTCATTTCTCTCAAAAATACAAAGCTCAGTAACCAAACAAGTACACATTTATTTCATGGTGCTACAGAGCACAAAATACCTTTATTACCATTTTGTTTTCATCTTTTTCTATTTACGGGTTTGTCAAGAATTGTACACGAGGAACTCTGAAACAAAAGGGGACCTTTCAAAATCAGAAGTGGATTTCTATATAAAAAAAAAACAAAATCAATGAATCCAAAACACTTGGGATGAAAAATGAAAAGTAAATTTAAATGACAAAAAGTCTTCAGAGTGCAATTAGATCTTGATTCACGATTTAGATAAAGATTTATTTGTCTGCAGAAGCGGCCAATACAAATGATCAGAATATGATTCCATGTCATCTCTGGTGAATCATAAATGCATTTTGTCAAAGCTATTATTAGTTGCTCTCCACACACATACACACTCACACACACCGTCTTGCCTACAGCTCATAAATACAATCAATCTGATATACAAATATTTGGATAGATTTTTTTTTACTTTTTTAGCGATAGTTAAAATGCAGGTTTAATCCAGATTCCTCCTCTTCTGAAGACCACCCCTTTGTTTCGTTGTTACTGTCAAAGTTTCTCGGGAGGAGAAACCGTAGCCTGACTCGGACGAAAGCCCCCGACTCAGCTTTAAAAATGAAGAGTCGCTGTTGGGCGGGAGGACATTTAAATAAATATCTGAAACGAGCAGCATCCTAACACTGCACACGTCCTCCAACTCTCAGGTTGTGAAGCAGGTTTGAGTCTCTTTCCTGTATCATTCAACAATCCGTCCTTTACTGGAGGGTGACTGAGGGAAAGCAAACAACACAGCAGACGACACGCTATTGACACAATTCGTTCTCACTCAAGATGCAAACTGCAGCAGACAGACTCTGAAGAGCTGCAGATACACAAACAAGTCCCATGTGATAGTATCACCACTTCCTGTCTATCCATCACACTCAATCGATCAAACAAACATGGACGTTCGGACTTAAGACACAAACTAAAACTAAGTTAATTCTGTGTTGCATTTAAGGGGAAGCTGGACAGCTTTGAAGGAAATGTTCATGGTACATCAAATTATGCCTTCATACAACACGGGGTTTGTGAATACATCCAAGGAAAACATTTTATGTGTGTTAAAACCGTTGATACAACTTTCTGTTTTCTGTTTGGATGCAGGAAAAAGCCCTTCGTGGAGACGCCATGCCTTTTAAAATACTCCAGTGACAATTACTGAACAAAAGAGACGACAGAGTGATTGAGCTGTTTGACAAAGACTGACAAGATGGAGACACCTTACGCTCTTCTTAGGTGCGGGCAAAAAGAAAGGTCCTTAAGACAGAGAGCAGTACGTCCATGTGCTTCATTTAGTTCCAGGTCGGACATCACTCCATCCAGCAAAGTCTGTTTATGTAATCTCTCTGCAGGATGATGTTACTTCAACACCGGGTACTGGCGCTGACCGCCCAAACGCCCAGAACGAACTCCACCTCCTGGCGCCGCACTTGTCTGGGAAAAAAGAGTAATAACAACAAACAGGAAAGAGGATAATGAAGCGGAAAAGAAGAAACATGAGAGGAGCTTGTATAGCGCCTCAGGATACTGATCCATACTGATATTTATTGTCTTTTTTACATCCTCACCTGTGCAAACTGTGCAGGGTTATAAAAGGTGACGCCTCCCGCGGGTGGAGCTCCCTGAGGAGGATGAGTCTGCAAGGCAAAAACAGAGTTAGTACAGTGTGTGCATTTTTACTCTCTACTACTACTACAGGCACAGAGAGCAGGTTACACTCCAAATGCCATTGAATGTTTCGACATTATAAAACAGATGCAAAGTGAAAAACGTAATGGCAAAGCTCTACAGTGAGGCAGCTTTACAAACCACAATTCATTTATTTTAGTAAGCGTGCATGCTTTTTGATGGGTTAGTGAAGCAATGTGCTTCCATGATCACAATCAGGGGAGTCGTCCTGCAGCAGTCTCCAGCATGTTTCACTCTCTGATCTGTGACTCAAAAGTCGTACATTTTAAGAATATAGTCAGAATTTTGGGCTATGTGTCATATTAGAGGATATCAGAAGATCAGCCTGTCGCCTCTGTAAAATGAGGAATCTGGAGCATCTTATTAAGTTATACTGCATTCTTGTAGTATTACGAATGAATGAATTTTCTTTTTCTTCATATGGCCAATTCATGGTATAGATATTGAGTTACAAAGTGGTGCGACAGTAAAAGCCAAGAGATCACCAAAAAAACTGCGGCTTTTCTGCATGAACAGAATTTCATGGCAATCCATCAAATACACACTGAAATATTTTTGGCTGCAAGAATAGCTAGTGTCATCACAGCAGCTCTGATTGAGTAAACTTTGTTAATCATCACACACAGAGAAGTTAACAACACTGGAGACAGACGGCAGATGAGCGGGCAGACATCCTGGGTTTGTCGGTGGGGTGGTGAAGCATTAGGTTCAAACAGTGAAGCGTGCTGCTAGTGATGTAGTGAGCTGGGTGGGTGAGCAGGCAGGGGTGAGAGTGAACCATTTGAGGTCCAGCTAGAGGTACCTGTTTTAAATGCTGACTCACTTCACGTGATAAGGAGCTCATTGAGCTAGAACGTGAGAGCTGAAGACAGTAGGAAGGAAATTAACAGTAGAAAAAAACGCAAAAGAGACAAACCACAAGCCCATGTTAAAATTCTCCCATGAATTGGTTTAGAACTGTTTCCACTAGGCCGCCAGTTCAGAGCGAAAACAAATAAAGTCAGCGTTAGATAAGTTAAATAAACAAAATTAGATTGTAACAGCAAATGCAACAATTTATTTGCAAAAAAGACTGCATTTAGCATGATTTTCAGTTGACATGCAGGCATTCTCATGTTCTCTCAACCCTTTATACATTAACTTACATTCATACAAATAAGCGGACTGCACGCACTGGCTGTTAGGTGATGAGCAACATGTTTCAGTGGTGGCATGATGGTACTATGGCAGCTACAGTGACATTTGACAGGGACGGTTTCTCTTACCTCCCCGGACTGTGAGCCATCAGGCACAGGAGCTCCCTCTGGGGCAGGTGGTAACAACGTTGGGTTGAAGATCTGAACAGATTAAAGTGCAAAATGAAGAGAATGTGGATGAGTAGAGCTTCAGCTTTCTACTTCATTTCGACTGGCTTAACCCTAATGTCCTCATTTCCCATGACCTTTAGCAATTACAGTTTGTTTTTTTAGATACTGCACACTAAATGTTCTTTATTGAGCTGTAAACTAAAATATATGAGTGTTCTTTGATGAAATACATTATTGCTGGTTTCAATATCATATTTAGCACTATATTTGTTAAACATTTATGGGTTGAACGTGGCTCATAACACCACCGTGTTTCAAACCAGGGAGAGAGACAATACCTTTTCTGCATTAGAGCCACAATGTGGATTGTCAGGTTTACCTGAGGAGCAGTGCTGGTGTTTGGGGAATTCTGCTCCTGGTATCCTCCTTCACTGCCCTCTAGAGGTTGTTGATCATCAGGCGCTATATCAGTAATTTACAAAAAAATAATTGAATCACTTCCTCTGCAGCCATCAGGGATTTTACATGATTCCATGTATTTAATTCATACATAACTCCCACCTGAACTAGGCACAAATAGGTTAGCAGGCATGGCCATCGGTGCCAGAGGAGCAAAGATATCCGCTGGAGCAGGGGCTAATCCACTCGGTTTAGCTGTTCTACTGGGGTTCAGAACGTCAACATATCTGCTCCTGGTGCCTGAGAAGAGGGAAAAACACCCGAGTGGCAAGAAACTGAGTAAACAGTGACTAATTTGATATACAATTAAGTTAGCTGGTGTTTTTCCAAAACAGTTATGCAAGGTCATATAGGGTATTTGTGAAGCCAAAGGCCACAGGAATTAACCCTCATCTCACCTGCCTTCCTGGAGAACATATTGACAGGCGGACCACCGCTTGGGGGTCCTGCAGGGCCGGGCATTGGAGCCATCTTGGGGAAGCCAGAGGGAGGTGGCGGAGGAGGCTTACTCTAACAGATTTAAAAAAAGACACACATTAGATTTCAGTGTCAGTCTACTTCAAAACAAATCTGTAGTATAATCTGTCTTGTGAACCAATTTTAAAGACCATAGCAGACCTCCTCTTCAGGCTCGTTCAAGTCCACCCATTTCTGCTTCTGTTCATCCCACACAATCTGTCAATTGAGAAAAATCTTATCAGTAACTGTTGATATAGAGAAAATGTTGAAATAAGACATGAACATATTCTCGTTGTAACTTACAGATGGGTTTTTGTCATCTGGCAAGTGAGCCTCATTCTTCCCCTTCCCAAAGAACCACTTCAGCAAGCCACCACCACCCCCACCACCACCGCTCTGTGTATGAAAAAGATAAATAAAAAGACTAATTGCAACAAACACTAGAAAACATTGTTGGAGCACTAAATGTGAATCAGAAGTGAATATGAACCTGTTTGGGGGGATCTTTCTTGACTTTCCTGGCCTCTTCTTTGCGGGGCTGTTCAGGAATTGAAGGCGGGGGTAGAGAGATCTGCTTGACGGCTGAGTTGCTGCGCTCTCTTCCAACAGAGTGAGTGGATGACTCAGAGGTGGTGCGTGAACGCCGCCCTGGAACCTGAAGTCAAAAAATACAGGTAAGAATAAGACGGCAACACACACCTTTCTTTCAAGCCTCTAGAACTGAGCTTCTTTTTTGATGAGCAGTGCATCGGTTCTTTGAATGCTTTTTTTCTGATACAAACATGACACACAAACGCACCATGTGCATTGAAGATTGTGAAGTAGTTCTCGATCTGCCAGGACCCTGTAGCACCAGGAAAGACAATGGTTAATCATTTTGTGTATGATTTGAACAACAACACAACAGCAATAACAAGTGTCTGGAGAAACCAACCATGTGAGCCATGTGGTCATAGAAGTCCATCTGAGGTGTGAAGGAGTTTCTGGTTGGGGAGGATGGTATTGTCTGAGCAGTCTGCATCTCTGGTGGGGGCTGGTATGGCTGCTCAACAGGCGGCATATGCCCAGGGGAAGGAGGCATGTGCTGAGGCATCTGGGGCAGTGGGTGGTTCATCTGCACAGGTGAATGTGGCACTTGAGGGAGCATGTGTGGTGACATTTGGCCCACTTGAGGAGGTGGGTGAAACGGCTGCTGATGGGCTCCTGGATACATTTCTATCTGCTCAGATTGAGGCTGGAAGGGAGGGGGGGCAAAACCGGAATCCTGTGGAGGGTAGCCTGTGACGGACGTCTGACCTGGTGGTCCACTGGGAGGTACTGGGTAGAAATGCGGCACATCACCGGGGGGTAAATGCTGAGGTGGGGCCATCCCCTCTTGGAGGATGGAGGTAGGAGCTGAAAAAAGAAGTAGATGTGAAATCTGATACATTTTGAATCGGCTGACCGTCAGGAGGTTAAAAATGGAGACAACAAGAGCACAAACACATTACATACGCACACCCACCTGGAGGCATCAGCTGCACTCCCTGTGGTGGAGGCCCGGGCAGCAATGAGCTCATTAGTGGGTTGTCAGGAGTGGGGCCATCAATCTCCAGTGGCATGCTGTAAGGTTCAGGTGGGCTAGGCTGGTCCAAGTCAGATGGGCTGCTGCAGTCAAACTGTATAGGAGTTGCTCTGTCTGCACTGTAAGTAATCACCCCGGTCTGAAATTTTTGTATTAAATTAAAATTGTTGAATGGGTACAAATTACCAGGAAAGTTTAAAATACAATGAAAATAAGATTAAATTCAACAAGTTCCACATCAAATTAAACAGTCATATTTTCACTTATTATTATTACCATAAATTATTATAATTTGAATTATCATTGTCATGGGAATTTGAGTTTAGAGACAAATAAAGGTATATTTATGAAATAACCCTTTGTAAATTGTTATCACTTTCTTTAACATTGCGTTATATGGCACTTTTCTACTTATTCATGGATCTTAAAGAAAAAAAACAGGCACATTTAGGGAACTGATATCTGAGAGCATCTGAAAATTGATGCAGCTAGATCAAAATTAAGTCGACTGTTGAGCCATTGCAGCGGTATGCGCTCCAATGAGTGCAATTCTAGTTGTTACTATAGCATCTATGACTGCGAATATGTGTCTGCCTCCTCACCCGGATCTGTCCATCCAACTGTCTGAGGTGAATCAGCCAATCAGGTTCATTAAACAGCTCCTGCTCAGGCTTCTCCTTCAGTTGTGGATCGAAGAACCGCAGCTTTTCAGACATCTGTCAACAAATAGCATAAAATTATATTTGCACATCTGTGATGACTGAATAAATGAGGTACCAGAGGGAGAGACAGGAAAGAGAGTTAGAACATACCTGTATGATTTGGCTAATAAAGACAGGAGAGAAGTAGGAAGGCTGCATGAGGACAGTCTTGGAGATAACTTCACAGTAGTGGAAGGCCTGAGCACTCAGGCCTGCTTCAGCTAGACGGCATGCATAGATCAACTTGAACACCTTGTAGGAGACAATAAAGTAACAGTTTGTTAATCTTCAGTAATATCACCATAGTGGACATATCTGCAGAGGCTGCAGTGAAATCAATCAAACAGAAAAAAACCTACCTGGAAATTGGGCAGGGAGCAGGGCTGGGAGCCTAGAGATTGAGCATACTCATAGGCCTCAGTCCTCTGAATAGCTTCGTTGGTTGCAAATTGGTAAAAGGGAAAACTAAAGTGAAGAGACGAAGATGAGGGTAAATGTTGGGCTTTTTAAAGAAAAACACCTATAAATTTCATAAATGTGCATTTTCTGCTTTGAACCTGTGATTGGAGCCAATCAGAACCATCTTGGTGCTCTTCTTTGTGAAGACTCCTAAACCGACTTGTGCCATCATGTAGCAGAAGTGTGCTGCATCAATCAGCCCCTTGGAAGCTGCCACCACACAAAACGAGAGCAGATAGAAAGTAAGGTTTTGTATGAAAAGTCCTTTTTGATTCAGAGCAGTGAGTATCTGCCTTCTTTTAATGCAGTCCTACCCAGAGTGTCTCCCATGGTGGTGATTGTGCGGGTATCCAGGTCCATGGTGTGTGTGAGGTTAGACAGCACCATGGCCAGGTGAGGGCGCCAGTCACCCCACTTCTCCTCACCACAGCACTACATGAACACAACATATGGCTTATTTATTAAAAAAGTACAAAAAAAACAACCCACAAATAACTACACAAACAAAAAGCAACTTCCTCAGAACAATGTGGGTGTTAAAGAGAGAAAGGCAAATTAGAACTTACAGTGGCTGATGCCGGCATCCTCCCAGACATCAGCTGGTACACTGTCTGAAGAGGGTCATTGATGGGCAAACTGTTGGCAAACCTAAACAACAAAGACAAACAAATTCAATGTTTTATCTGTGTTAACCATTAATTATCTAGACTGTGACCCGATCTCTCAAGCACTGCATTGCATAGTTGTGTGGAGCACTATTGACAATGCAATTCGCATCATGCTTGCTAATGCACTGCTGTTATTGTCCATAAAGTTCATGCAGTCAGACCACATGTGCACCCCCACTACCACCATAGACTGAATTCAAATAAGAGCAGGATAAAGATGCTAATTGTTTTATGAGCCACAAGCCTTTATACCGCTGGCACTTTACCTTGTCATGACACGTGCATGTGTCCTGTTGTCCATCTTACTGGCCAACAGTAAGGCATGGCCCCAGAGACCTCCCTTCATGGCGGCCTCTAGTGCATCCTATTCCATAGACAAAGCAGAGCACATGTCAGATTTCACTGATAAAGAAAAAACTAAATGACAATAATACATATAAAGAGGACATTTTTTTACCTTCTTGCGGCCAAACAGAAGCAGCTCCCTAAATCGTTCTGTTTCTTTGCCAACGTTCTCTGGGACAATCATGAAGGTGTCAGACAGGAGGGAGAGTGGTCCGGCTCCCGGCTCTTCCTCAGCTCGCGCCAGTGGTTCATTGTTAAAATCAATCAGGTTGGCTTCATTCGGACTCTTGCCCGGCAGCCAAACAGATCGATGCTCCTTCAGCAAGAGGTCAGCGATGTCCGTGCCCACGACAGTCTTGAGAACCGAATGATAAAGATTAGGATGATGAAAAAATATGGTTCCATGCAAAAACGCTGAAACATTTTCCGTTTTAATTCTATTTCTGACAGATTTCTAGTTATGTCTGCAGTCTTACCCCATTCTGTCTGCAGAGCAGCATGATGAAGTCCCAGAGCAGACAGGCAGAGTCCCTGTCCAAGAGGTTGTTGTCACGAGAACACTCCAGTGCTTTGTTCTGGGAGAACTTTATAACATCCACCTTATGGGTCTCCTCCCTGATGGACAGAACGCAAGAAGTGAGATGGATTGGAAGTGACTAAGAGAGAGTTAAATGATATTCTGTATTATTCTTTTTTGTCATCTTATTGTATTATAAGTATTGTCAAAGACTGACATGGCCTTATTATCTATGCCACTGAGCTCCAGTGTTAAAGAACTACTAAGAATTCTCCTTCAGAACAAATACTGGATACTGAAGTTTTCTTGAACCAATCCCACACACTGTCATACTGCCATAAATAATGCAAAATCTGTAGCTAAAAATAGTCAGACTTACAACTCTTGTTTAAGTATGTTTGCTATAAATTGTCCCAACTATTTTAGGAAATTAAAGATGAAACATTTCTAGTGTAACAGACAGGCTTGGAAAGGCTCCAAGTGTCAAGAGATTAACTAATACATTGCTGGTTTTAGTATTTTAATTGGAGTTGTTGGAATAGAATAAATATAGAATGCTGCCATAAAATGTTAGTCTCTGAGATGTTTATAAAACATACAAAGGGTTGAGTACACTTACTTAACAAGAGGTCCAGGGAAGGCCCGTAGTTCCGCTTGATCCCGGGTATCCTGCAGCATGGTCTGCAAACACAAATGTGGTTTGAGATTTGACTTACTTAAACATTGTGCAAATGCTGAACTGTCTGAGGTTAAGTCAAGCAAGTTCCCTGGGGGGAAAAACACAGGGAAAGCTATCATGTTCAGTTTTTCACCCTGTACATACTTAAACACTTGATGATAGTTCACAACATATGACATCAAATCACAGTAACATGTGCACCCTGTCCATTCATGGATGGAGAAAAAATACATTAAAGAATCTGGAATGTAACCTGTTAAATACGTACCTCCATGTTGTGAATATCAACGAGAGCTGGCTGTCCAGCTGAGGGGAGATTGGGCAGAACTTGAACCAGGTGACCACCAGGTCCAAAGCGGGCACAGCGGTGGGGTATGGTAAACTTCTCTGGGGTGGCAGGACGAGGGGGGGCTGAGGGGAAAAACAAGAATCAGACTGTGAGTGTTTGACTGATCTCTGATAAAGATTCTATTAACATTTAGTGATTGGTTCAGCTTTAAAAGGCTGATAATTGTCTCCTTACGTTGCTCGGGGGTGATCCATGTGCTGTCTGCAGGGAACTCAGAGGGGTAGAGGTACTGGCTGTAGTTCTGTGTGGCATCAGCAGTTTGGTTTGGGTACTGTCCATAAGAGTAGTCCACAGCCAGAGTGGAGGCTGTGGTGTCATAGACTGCTGACACTAAGTCAGGCTGGCTCCTGTATACCTGGCTCTGCAGTAAGGGAAGTCGGAGAGAGACAATTATGTGTTAGTCTGGAGCATAATGCAGCCGTTATCAGCCTACTTTCCCGAACACAAGTAACATATCCACATGGATTTTCATCCTGAAAGTGTTATGAATGAAGCAACTGAGAAGCTGGAGGGATCATGAGACCGCTTACAAGCATAACTAATAGTACAGATAAGATGCTACCAGGGGGTGAAGAACAAATCTAGGGAAAGAAATGCCTAAACTGTTCTTGTGGTGAGCAAAAATTAACCTTGAAAAAAGTGAGGGAAAATTTGTTTCTTCTGCAATTAATTATTAACACATTCCCACTCTTTTCTCATCCAAAATTCACAAATACTCCATGCGGTAAACACAGCTCAAAATCTATAAACCGTACAACTTCTTATGAGCACTTTAACACACAAGATCCAAAATCTGAATAAAGGCTCATCCAAACCATGATTATCAGAACACTGAAATTCATTTTAATGTCTTACAGTCGGCTTCATGGCAGTCTGTACAATGTTGTCTTTATCTTTTTCTGAGGAATCCGCAGCCTGCCCATGAATGCATTTAAGAGCACTGGAACATCTTCAACAAGACAAGCTCTATGTAAAACTTAAAAGGCAAGATTAACAGTAGTAAAAATCAAGCTAAAATGAAGTAAAAGAAGAAACTCCAAACTCCATGTTTTCAGACATGCACTGGATTTTGCAGTTCCTCTGTACTTTCTCCGGAGTTTTCACTGACTTTATTCGCCGGACTTCCAAGTATTACATCAGTAGAAATCCAGGAGAAGATGTGTGAACACAGCAGGCAATTTTACCCGAGGTCATGTCTGAAAACGACACAAGATAATAAGAACAGGTAATAATAGTTTCACATGAAGACTTTTACCTGTTGTGACCTTGAGCTGAAGCTGCTTCGTCTGCTGTGGTGGCTTTGAGAGCTGTGCACGCTGTGTGCTGACTGCTCGCTGTGGACGCTGCGTCGATCAAAGTCATCGGCATACATTTCTCCACGTCGTTGGTAATCCTCATCAAAGCTGGGATCGTAACCAGGATAGTACCGCCATTGGTCTTCATAGCCTTCTTTCCTATAAGTGGGGTGTTAAGTGTTTGTGAATCCAAACACATCCTGTGAAAACTACAAGTTGCTAGGTAGCATGCATTAAATACAAAATCATAAATGTAACAATCATAAACACAAACATTTCAAGTCCAAAACTGCAAAACATCTAACAGACTACTTGATAAGCATAGAATTCTGTTTGAAATGTGTTAGTCAGACATACATATACATGAGTTATATATATGTATATATATAAATAATCACACATAAATGACAAGTTTAACAGCACTTGTCATTTATGACACCGTTTACAGCTAACACCTTACATAGCTCTACACAATTACTGACAGATTTAGCTTAATGTAATAGCGGTCACTGTGAGTGGTGCTTCTCTCTGCATACCTGGCAGGATACACGGGTTGATTATAGTAGTTGTCTCTGCCTCTGTAGCTGTTATCGTAATTAGACCAGTAGGACTGATCATAGTATCCTCTGTATCGAGGGTCATACTGCCCATAGTTGTATCCTTTTCACAGAATATATGGAGAGGATAAAAAGAGATTCATGTCAAAAAATTATTTAAATGCACGGATACATTTTTTTTATTTTTGCAACATCTTCAGTAAAGGATTCACACCGTTTTTCAACTCATACCTCTGTAATCGTAGTTTTTGGAATAATCTGCATAATATTCACTATAGGCACTTTGGTTGGCTCTGTTGTAATCGTCAGGATAGCCTTGTCTATGGGAGATAGTAAACAAAAAAGATGAGATTCATACCTAGTTCACAAAATTATCTTAAGTAAGAAAATTGGAATCTACAAGAACAAATGAATGACTAAAATGAAAATATTGTAGTTTTATGTGCAGTACATCAAATGTAAAGCAGAGGAACTGTTTCACTGACCTGGATGAGGGCCTGTCAGAATACTGACTAGCCCTGGAGCTGGGTCGCTCTGGCTGAGGCTCTCTGTACTGATTTGGGTCCCGATAAGCTTGGGTCTGCCCGTCATACCTGCCATACCAAGGATCAGCTTGGCTCCTGTATTGACCATCCTGAGAGAAAAGAAAACACAATGTAGTGCATCTTCACATAGATGAATCGTTCACAAGCCAGCGTAGGTGTAAGTCGTTCCACATACTTGATAATATTGCTGTGCTCTAGGATCCCCAGGTGGTGGTGGGTACTGGCTAGGAGGATATGGTGCTCTGCTATCCGGGTATTCCCCAGGATAACCATAGTAGCCACTGTACATCTGTCCCGGCTGTGGAGGAGGAGGCCCGTAGCCCTGCTGGCTGCCTGCAGAGGAAGGTGGTCGTGGTGGCTCTGTGGAAGCTGGATGAGAAGCCCCGACAGGTACTGGTCCTCGAGGCCCTGGGGGGTATAAAGCAGCAGGGGGAGGAGCACTCCCTGCAGCAGGCCCCTGTGCGGGAGCTGGATACTGAACACGGGAAGGTTGTGATCCACTCAGTGAGACAGGAGGATCGCCACCCTGTCCCTGCAATGCAGGCTGAGGATCTGATGTCCTAAGAGGTTCTATTGGTGGTGGCTCTGTGTTTGCAGCTGCTTGGGAGGGAGCTGGCGGTACCTGTGGGGTGGATAAAGAGGCTGGGGTCTGGATAGGGGCATTCCCTTCCATTCTTACTCCCTGCTGAGCATCTTTGGTTACCTGTAGGTAAAATCCATTACTAGACTGTGGAGACTCATGTAGAGAGGAAGGATGGCCAGATGCTTGATTTTGAGTTTGTGATTGGTGCATAGAAAAATCAAGCAGTTCATAATTTGAAGGCTGATTATGATTAGAAACAGGAGGAGTCATGAGAGAAGCCTGTGCATTAACTTGGAGAGCAGAGTGGTTGTCTGGTTGGCCCCTTGAAAGAGGAGGATGGACTGGCAGAGACTGTGGCGGAGCTGTGATTTCTGATGTTGCCGCCTCTGTGTTGTCTCGGGCCAAATTGAGCGGGCCCTGGTTAGAGGCTGAAGAATTGAAGCTTACTGGTCCAGGGGCAAACAGTGGATTTGGATTGGAGGCTACTGAAAGTGATTGGGGGGCACTGGCACCCTGCCCCTGTGCGAGTGATCTCACAGGTGGGGTAGTTTCCCTAAGGCTACTTTGACTGGCTGCGTGAGTCTGGGTACTGGGGGAAATCACACTATAATTAGATACAGGCGGGGCAATCAAAACAGGTTGGTGGAGTGAATCAGCCACCAGGAGAGACGCATATCCCATGTTGCCTTGAGAGTCAGCTGTCTCTGCGTCACTCACCTTTGGTGGGTTCTCTAGGTTCTCTGAATGCTGCTGTGAGGTTGGCTGGACTCTCTGGGAAGCCTGGAGGTCCAGGGGACCATCCTCTGGAGGTTGGATAACATCAGCACTGGGCTCTCGTAAAGGAGCAAGAACCATTGGGGCGGCAGGGGCTAAAAGGATGTTAGCGCCCAAGCTAGCAGGATCATTCTGTGCCCACAGAGTAGTGGCAGGGCTTTCACAGGGCCGACTCGCCCCATAAGCACGGGATGAAGGTCGTGAGTGGGAATGAACCACTGGGTGTGGCGGGTGAGGTACACCCACTCCAGGCCCAGGAGGCAAGGGGTGTCCTGTGCCATAAATATTTTCCATATTATCTGGTGGCTGCTCCAGGTTGCCTGGTGCAGAATCTGCACCCCCCTCTGCTACAATTTTAGCCATATCAACTTCAGCAGGACGTACCCCAACCCCATGGGAGCGAACAGGTTCGAAAGAGCTATTAGCACTTGCCTGGAAGATGCCAGTTGGTTTGGGAGGGCTAGGTGTGGGTTGCCACATCTGCTCCAGGGAGTTCTGTCTTGCACCCATATCCCCAGCTGGAGAACTGTCAATCTGCTCAAAGTAACCTCCAGTAGCAGCAGACAGGTTAGCATCATCAGTAAGACGAGGGCTTTCCTGCTGAATAAAGGTACCTACTACTCCCTGGTGCCGGCGGGTGCCAGTCCCACTTCCATGACTCATATTGCTATAGTTGGATGATACACTGGCAGATCTCATTGGTCTTGGAACAGAATCTGGAGTCTCCAGGTTAGGCCCGGTTTCGAACAGGTCTACATCATGTACTGCACTAGCAGCAGGACTACCATGAGTTTCACTGGGTAAAACTTCCTGATTCGGAACACACTCCAAATTCTCCACATGGTCGTAGTGAGAATCTGGGGGCTTCTGTGATGAATGATTGCCATCATTCATGTACGGTACATGTGAATGATCCTGAAGAGAAGCTCCTTGATAATCCAAAGGGGGATCTGTGTGGCCACTGTGGGTTTGTGGGTTGTCGTGGTGCTGAAAGAATCCAGGAATACCATTCACTGCCTTATTTCTGTCTCCAGCCAGTGTTTCCTCATTTTCCACATCATTGTCTTTGAAGAACATTGAGAGTGTACCAGACTCCTGAGGGTATGGTACTGGGGGAGGGGCAGAACTTGGCCCAGGCTCAAAACTGGCCACATGTTGAGCTCCACCAGAGTCAGGTGTGGGCTGAGAATGACCAGGGCCAGTCCCCATTTGGTGGTAACCTGAGTCCTGTGTGGGTTGGTTGAACCAAGAGTCTTGGGGGGCAAAGTAGGTTTGAGATTGGAAGTGTGAATTATGCTGCTGGGGTGCGTTTGGGTCAGGCCATTGAGAACTAGGGGGCCTTATAAGGTTCTGAGGAGGAAGAGGAGCCTGGATATGGGGATGTACAGGTTGTGTTGGAGGGGTTGGGGTGTTTTGATGGGGCGATGGGGCGTGGGATGGGAACATCTGGGGCTGTGGAGGTATGTTAAAAGGTTGTGGTGGAGGGGTTGGGGTGCTTTGATGGGGCGATGGGGCGTGGGACGGGTACATCTGGGGCTGTGGAGGTATAGTAAAAGGTTGTGGTGGAGGGTCACTTGTAGGCTGGAAGTAGTTTTGAACTGATGGAGGGCGACTTCCATGATCAGGGGCCCAGTGGGAAGAGGAGGTGTTGGGAGGAACTGGCTGGAAGGGCACAGGCTGAGGTGTTGGCTGTGCATGAAAATCCTGGTTAAATGGTGTCTGACTAGGCGCTGGGGCTGAGAAGACAGGCTCTGCGGCTGTGGATGGTGTCTGTTCTCTTGAATTAAAATAGCCCTGCTCTGTATGCGACGATGCATATCCTTCAGTACTTGGAACTGGGAAAACAACAGGGGATGCTGTACTGTGAGGGTTGAACAGCGTCACCCCTGGCACAGAGGATGGTGGGGGACCATATGGAGCAGCCGGGACATCCTCCAATGTCTGTGGTTGTGGAGGCAGACCTCCACCAGCTTGAGAGTACATGGTGTTAGGTGGGGCTTGCATGGGTGGAGGGTTACTGCTCTGCATTGCTGGGAGACCACCTGCAGCCATAGGAGGGGGAGCTCTGACAAAAGCAAAAGGGTCTGTCATGGGTCGGGTCGCAGGTGGCATTGTGGCAGTAGCTGCTGCTGTATGCTTGTGAGGCCTGGTCCTGCGGAACATATTGGGCCCAGACGGAGGAGGGCCAGAGGCTCCTGGAGGTCCAGTCCGCGGAGGGGGCTGCATGGCTGCAGAGCTCACAGGTCCGAGGACCAGGTCACACTAGTTGATGTCACTGAAGAGACTGAAGTCAGGCGACGCTGGTTAGAAGGAAGGAAAGAGGAAGTGGTAAACAAAAAGCTCTTTGATGGACTTCACCACACCTTTATTTGTATAATAAGCCAAGATCCTTTTTAGATGAGCGATACAACGTGGCAATTTCTACGACAGTTCTAATATTATCTTAGAGATAAATACATTAAGTAGTATGCTTGGCAGAACACAATTGACCAAATGTAATGAATGCCAACTTTGATTATATGACACACTATGAGTCATATGGTATTACCTCAAATGCTTTATACTTATCTTACTCAAGCAATTAGAAGAAAACGTTGAGGTAAATCTTTAATGAAAAGTATATTAAAACACAAATGAGACAAATACTGCCTCAATATCAAAGTTGATTTGTTTTTTTAATTTAAAAAATACAAAATCTTATTTTAAGTTAATACAATTGAAATAGATGCAGCTGTTTTGCAGCAAGGTCAATTTTAAAATGAGTGAGGACAATCAAAAATCAAATCAGAAATTCTTCACTTATCTAAATAGCACCTTCATTTTGATAAGAGACAGCTTTAAGAGGTAATTTTGAATGTGGTGGCTTCTGTGTGGTTTATTGTATTTTGTAAAAACACCTCACCTGATGGAGATTAGCCTAACACTGAGTTTACGATTGAACTTTCTGAACAGGAACTTGCTGATGATACATGTAAATGAACAAACTTGCGATTGTCTTTGGTAACATTAGTTGTTGGTGACACTTAAATAAAGAAGCCGCACACACAGCACACGAAACGGTCTGACAGCTGACTGTCACACACCGACACTGTGGATCTGTCAGTGGCGGAGTTCAGCGCAGCTAACGCCGGCTGCAAATGATCATTCGACAAGCCAGGAAAGGGAACTCGGCAACAGAGAGTGCTGGGTGACCGGCAACTCTTAACCGGATGGACTCTCCTAACGTGATCCCGGAGCGTATCAAGCGCTCTGGGTAATACTTTTACCCACAACCGGTGCACTACCCGGAGCTAGCGTTAGCATAGCCAATGTCCCAGCTCACTGACAGGTCAACACGAAGCGAAGCTCGCAGCGTTAGCCCAAAGAGAAACAAGACACAGACTTCTGCTTATCGTGCGACACTTGTTGGAAAACGAGAGGCTCTGTTAGGTCTGCCGCGACTTTGAGTCCAGGCTACACTTGCTATGAGGAAAGGTCCAGGATGCTAACGGTAACGCCACACTGCTCTGCCAGACCCAGCAAAACAGAAACCCAGTCGCCTGCTTTCACCCGAAGCCAGGACCTCTGCAGACCCCCCGACAACCGGTAACCTATCCCTTCACACACATTCAACACAGAAATGAGCAGTTACAAGTTACTGGCCCCTCGTCGGGCATATTTTAACCGTTTCAACGCCTGCTAGCGTTAGCAACGCCGCTTAGTTAGCACCGCTGGCTAACTAGCCGAATGCTAACTCCAAGGATAACAGTTCCAGGTCTGCCGCGGACACCAGATTGCAGCAGCGAGGGTTAAACATCGTTAGTGGAGGTGTATATCTCCTCTTACCCAGTGCCGGGAATGTGTACAGATCAAAATAAATTCTTACAAATGTGCAGCAGAGTGAGTCTGACACGGCGCCACCATCTTCAATGAACACATCCTACTAGGCTACGTGTACAAGCGGCGTCACGGGCCAAACAACCACGGTGTCATCACAGGGCGGAGCTTGGGGAAAAGGTTCATTCACTGTATTTATCATGAATTTATGTGCATCCGAGCTAATGATGATCAGGGCTTCTCTTTGCTCCCAGCCTCACTACTTCATGCTGTGGATTCTGAAAACATTCCTCTTACATTCTCTATTGCATCCCATCATTTCTGCAGATTTATCACATGGCTTTTCACGCTGGAGATCTCCTGTTCAGTCACATCTCAAAAGTGCAGTACTGGCTCCAGCTCTGGTGGCTGGGTGAGGCCTCTGAAGTACATTTCCATATTCATGAAAACAGTTTGAGATGTTTGCTTTGTGACATGGTGCGTAAACAGGTGCCTCTGCTTTGCGATTTGTTTAACATCAGACTGTTCTAAAATGTCAGACTGCAGTTTTATATCCATGTTGAGGAATCTTGGATGCTGGTTCATAATATTATCTGAAAGGCTGGGAAATATACAAAAATATCACCTGCACATGTAAAAGCTTGCAAAGTTGTATTACGAGATGATTTACAGCCAGCAACAAATACTCACTAAACAGTGGATAGCTTTAATACTCTGGGATTGTTCACGACCTATTTTGACCTTGAACAGGAGATGATTGTCATTCAGGAGACACTAGACTGTAGACAGTGTAGAGCATAAAGAGGGGTTGTCTGTGTAACCTCAGTCGTTGTGTCAGCCGTGTTTGAAATACTCAAACCAACATATGTGCCACCCATCACAAGTCAGTGAGATCACTGATGTTTAATGTGACCATTAATTGAAGATCCTCACCTGTATGACCTGACTGCTGCCACATTATTGGCCACTTGATTAAATGGCAGGAATTAGCAGATATATTTCTTATAAAACATTTAATAAGTGTTTGTTAATGTCATGGGGACTTTTTTAACTAAGAGCCCTTACAAAGCAGTTCATTGGAAAGTTTATTATTAATGAGGGAGAGCACCTGTTGACAAAAGTCTGTGGACACTACTGGCTCATAGTTTGTAAATTATTTAATATTGTATGTATCGGCTGCAGGTTTATCATCACCCTTCTCTCACGTAACTACTGTTACTCCTGTTTTGGCTTCTTCTCACTGGCTCCCATTATGTTTTATTTTCTCTAATTGCTCTCCGATTACTTTGGAGGCCCTTTATGGCGTTTAACCCCGTTGCACGAGTGCATGCAATGTCGACATGGTCTGTGTCCACTGGGGGGCAGTATGGTGTCATACACATATGATTAATTCTCACTGAAGATAAACCATGTTACACAGAGTAACTAAAACTTTAACTAAATATAAATCTTAGATAGTCTTCAAAACTATAACTTTGATTTATTGTGAATTGGTGTAATACAATTACTTTATTGTAATATGTTGCACCTTGAAAAGACTATGGATTGTATGGAGTAATTTTTCAAATACTACCTGGACCACCATATGTGATTCTGAGGAAATTTTTTTCCAAAAACAAATGTGTTGGAAGAATATACCATACTCAATAAACAAAATTAAAATGATATTGTTTATCTGACAAATTCTGTGAATGTTAGATTATGTTGAGTAGGCTTGTCTAAAATCAAGAGATTACACAGCTACATGTTGAAACTGGACAGCTGGGAGGTGGATGAAGATGAGAAGATCTATATGAACTTTATTCTTTTTCAAATATTTAGTGATAATAAATAGAATACATCCCACCTTTGCTATACATTATATAATTTAGCATGCAGCCACAAATCTCTCACCATGTGCACTCCACATAAGGCTTTGAGGTACGGTGTGTGACATACAGAGGGTGTATAATCTAAACAAACTTGTAAAAGTAATCCTTTCTGTTAAAGATAATGGAAATATCCACCATGAATAACTGGTAAAATGATGGAAGGCACTTGCTGTCAGAGCAGAATTCGAACACCCAGGATACATGTACATCTATGACTTGTTCGGACTTATGACTTGTGTCCTCAACTTTCGCTCAGGCTTGTCAACCGAAACCTATCCTCCCACCAGACTGTGTGTAGAGAATACAGGCCGTGGGGCAGGTTGGAACAGACCTTCACGTTTGCACCTAAAACCCACTGGCTTCTCTTTTCTGTGCAGGAAGTGGCTGTTGAGTAATCTTCAGCTCTCTCTGTGTGTGAAACCCTCTGGCTAATGATGATGTGTCAACTTGTCTCAATGTATTGAATCTTTGTAAAAACATGAAGAACATTTCATACATCCTGGTTATGTTATAAATTGCTAGATCACAGCAGCTCACTCAGTGCTTTAGAGCTGATGCAAAATAATTTAAATACAGAAATGATTCATCTAATGCAAGAAGGGTGCAATCTTCCACCAAGGCCAAACAGTCCCCTTCAAATTCACATTTAAATTCACTCCATGCTGTTTTTATTTGGATCAGCACCTAGTTGCAAACAATCCTGTAAATATGCCTGATTTTTCTTAATCAAAGTGAAACAAATTATTCCCTGTGAAAAACACCCTATCTGGTAATGTTCAAGACAGCACAAACAAATTCCCCTGACCAAAATGTATTTGGTTCTTTTTCGATAACTACCACATCATCATCATCAACATTCATCCAAGTTTGTGGGAAACTGTCAAGTAGATGTAGTGAAATCCATGTTGTTATGCAATGCCAAACATTCAATAAATTAAACTTTATAAGGACATTAAAAGAGATCATCACAAGAAAAACAAGTGGCTCACACAGAAATGAAAACACATACATAGCCCCACCCCCACTGTTTAACATGTTTTAACCAGTAAATAAAAATCTAATAAATAAATAGCACAGTATACATATGTGGTGGCTAGTCAATGGACACACAATGAATGGCGATGTAATAAATGACTGCTGTATTATTATTATATATGTCTCCATATGAAAATTTAGAATGTTGTGCTGTTGTGGTTAAAGCAACCGTGTGACTCAGGATGTCGGGCTGCAACTGAAGTTTCCCTTCATGTGTAACATATTCATTCTCACACACAAACACCGCAATGTCTGCAACATCTGTTATAGATGTACACTACAAACACACACTTTCATTTCTTGTTTCAATAAGAGATTGTTTATTCAATGAGAGCAAAGATAGAAAATAAAGTGATAGAAGATGTGGAATTTAATCAATCACATGTTTTGTGTAAAGACTTTTCCGTGAGAAACCCATCCCTGTCATTTTAATTTGTAAACCCTATTTTATTGACTGAAAATCCTTCTGAGACCAATACTAATTATCAGGTTTGATACCTCAATGACAGCTGTAACTCAAGAAGTAATTGCTCGATCAGCAGCATCTGTGGCCTGCATCATTTCCTGGGGGTACATAGTGTTTGTGACACTCACTGTTTGTCCTCAGAGGCCCCATCTACCTGGTCATTAAGGCCATGTTTACAGGAAAGCCAGGTGAGTGGTTAATGTTTGGTTAACCACTGTCTAAACTCCTGATAAGCCCCTGAATATCAAGCCCCGTGTTTTTTTTCCCCAATAGCACAGGATCTCTGAACAATGGTCCCAGAGTGAGTTCATTCTTGCTGAGGCAAATACGCTTACACAAATGTGGCAGGTGTGTGATGACTGAGATAGAAACTCACCATGTCATGGCAATTTCTTTTTCTTTTTTTAAAAGATAAGGAAATGATAAATCCTTAGATCTAGATCCTGGTCTTTGCCTCCTCCAATCTCAGCCTCTCTACATATATTCACACACACAAACACACAAAGAGATAGAAAAGATTGTCCGGGCAGGTGTGGACCTGAATGTGCACAACAGGATGATGGTACGGGATGAGTGCAACGTATCAGAAAATCTCTCACCTCTCTTTATAATGAACTAGTGTTCAAGTTTGATCCATGCATGAGAAACCCATCCCTGGTGTGACCCTTCATACAAGTTTTACCTCCACCTCGGGGGTTATGTTTTCACCCCTGTCTGTTGGTTGATTTGTATGTTTATTTCTAAGCAACATAACACAAAAACTACCAAACAGATTTATATGGAAATTGGTGGAAGGATGTGGTATGGGTCAGGGAAGAAGCCATTGAATTGTATTGCCAATCCAATGGGGGCTTGTAGTACAGCACTTGAATAAATGTACTTTTTTACATCCCAGCACTGCATTCGATACTTCTCTAGTGTTTATGATTTTATCATGGAAGGTAGTGAGAAAAGGTGTATGCTGCCACTTATGACATCAACAGTGGCGCCATAGTCAGTGGGCCAGTGAGCCGACATACACGAAACCACGGCTGCACCCGGGAATCAGATGCAGTTGTTAGCATTTTGACTGTAAAAAGGACTATTCCACAAAAAGGATGCTGACATGTTAGTGAGGAAAGAGAAATGATCAGTGAGCAGCCAATCTACACGTCCTTTCATGAGCTTGAAAACGCCACCAGATGGGGGCGTTGTTGCTTGGATGATCAATCATGAGACAAAGGTGAATTCAACTTACTTGCCTGGAGACTTATAGATGAAAGGTACCAGAAAGAATTCCAAATGACGTTTTCCTTTCACAATTTCACAAAGTGGAAATTTCCTTTATTTGGATCCAGCCGATCCTGGTTTTGTTGTACGTGTTTGAGTGTGTACATTATTGAATGTGTATGTTAGTGAAAACCAATGCTGGGAGCAAGATGAAATGACATATTGAAGAGCACTTACGAGATCACACTTGAGGTCTTGTATTACATCAGCTAGGACTGAATGTAATTACTGAGTTACAAATTACTGATAATTTTGTTTTCGTGTTATTAAGTGAAAGTTATGGCACAAGCCATGCGGGTAGAAAGTAATGTTTTTACTAGTGGAAGATGGATTGTTTTACAAGCGGCAGAGGGATAGACTGATGGTGGGAGGGACAGGCAGAGTGGAGGAGTGTAGACGTCACATCTGTTCCTGCCACTCCCTAGGGGGCCTGGGAGCATGGGAACCTTCAGCAGCTCCAATGCTTGCAACAGTCTTCACAAAGTGCAGTTCATATATCAATTTAAAAGGTAAATT